TAAACAACTCATTAATTTTATTCTTTTTTAAAAATAATGCTAGGCAAAGGCTGCTTATTCTTTTAATATCCGTACACTCAAGAATGATCTGAACCAGTTGAAAGGAGCTGTCAGCAAAGCTAATGATACACTGGCCAAGGGTTAGCACAGAGTAACAAACTGCACTACTTCTTTCATCATTTCATATTCTCAGATACCTGTCATCTGTGAGAAGTGTTCTGTTGAAATTAAAGATAATGCTACTACTCCTGATGCTCCTGATTCTGATCAAACCAAGGATGACACTGGGGAAACTGTTGCTAAGGAAAAAGGAGAAGATGTTGCTAAGGAAGAAAGCACCATTGCCAAGGAAGAAGGTGCCGTTGCTAAGGAAGAAGGTGCCATTGCCAAGGAAGAAAGTGCAGAACCTTGATTACAGATGAAAATATAGAAACTATTATTATTATTATTATTATTATTTTAACCATATAAACATATCTAACTGTGTTATGATGCTTGTGTGCTTTTAGTTCATAGAAATGTTCTACTTTTATTAAAATTATTTTACTCTAAATAAAATATTAATTTTTTGCATTCTGCTATAAAAAGACTGCTAGATAGATCTGTTGAGGCGTGGCTCATGTCCAAAATGGCGAGACTTATTTACAAATTGCAGACCATATCATCGTTAAGTTCCAGTAGATGCTTCTCTAGCTCTAGCCTACAAGCTAATAAAGTTGCTGTGGTGAGTTCTTGCACTCTCTCACTTTATTATAACATCAACCATTAGACCACATTTATAAATAAGATTATAATTAATGGTACAATGGTGGGTCTGGTTTGTGTTATGTTTTTTATGAGTAGGTCTTATCAGGAAGTGGTGTTTACGATGGCTCTGAGATTCATGAAGCATCAGCGTAAGTAATGATTTTTTTATTGTGGGCTATTGTAATATAAAGTGATCAATTAGATTATCATAATTTATTTTCTAAATTTAGTTGTTTGGTTCATCTCAGTCGCCATGGTGCTCAGGTGAGTATTTTTGCTCCAGATAAGCCTCAGCTTCATGTCAGTAATCACGTGAAAGGAGAAGTTATGGAAGGAGAGACAAGGTATGCCTAGTTAATCTACTCTTGCAAATCAACTTTTTTCAGAAATGTTCTGGTTGAGTCTGCACGCATTGCAAGAGGTGCAATATCTTCACTCTCAGAGCTAAAGGCAGATTCATTTGATGCCGTTGTTTTCCCTGGTGGCTTTGGAGCTGCTAAGAACCTGTAGGCTATTGTGCACTAAAAGAATTGAGTGCCTATTATTATTGTGGACGTTATTGTTTTTCAAATAGATCTTCATTTGCTGTTGATGGTGATAAAATGAGTGTTGATGGAGAAGTAGAGAGAGTTATACAGGATTTCAAAAAGTCTAAAAAGCCAATGGGGTAATGTGATGATTAGATTTGTGCCCTTAAGTGTATCATTATTATCATTTTTAGATTTTGCTGCATTTCTCCTGTTCTTGCTGCTAAAGTAAGCACATTAAATCTTATATCAATTGATAGAACATCAGTTTCTATTCTATTTTATGATGGTGGGATAATATATTTTTGGTGTGTGTGAACATTATTTTGCAAATACAGAATGGCAATTAGATTCTATACAATCGAAACATTGAATAGATTATTCCTGGGGTGCAAGTGACAGTTGGTCAAGACTCTGAGCAAGATGGCAAGTGGCCTTATTCAGGGACAGCAGGTGCTATACAAGTAATGGGAGGACAACACATTAACAGAGAAATCAATGTAAGTCACCATTTACAATAAGGAGATGGTTAGAGGTTATTGTAACAACTATGATCTCTGAAATGCCTTCATTCACGAGGTAATTTTTGGTTCCAACGAAGTAATGAGTTTCCAAAAATAGAACAACTTTTGACAAGTTCAAGTTCAAAATAGTCACAAAAATTGCTAGCAACATGTTATTAATTGCACTATGTTTTTTTCATAGTTGTTAGTTGTACCCAGTGTTATGTTGTATATATGTTGGTGTTTAGGAGATACATATTGATTCAAAGGAGAATGTTGTTACTACTCCAGCTTTTATGTGCAATGCTCCAGTTCATGAGGTCTATGATGGAATAGGAAACTTGATATCTACTCTTGTTAAGATGACCAAATCCAGTTAATATAGTCCAAATCAAATTCATTGTTTATTGACTAATAATTAAATTATTTAGCTATGTAGTAATAGTATCTTGTTATAGGCATATTTTATAGGGCAAAAATTATATTCCATGATTTTTTTGTCAAAATTTGGGCAAACACCCTCTACTTATAGTACAGGGACTTTGGTCCAATTTTGGAGCAACTTAAAAAATTTGTAAAATATCAAATTGTGATCAACATCACCTCAAACAGTAGAACATGTAATAGCTTGAGTAGTAGATCTATTTTTGAACTTAATTATGACAACTGAGAGTACTCTTGATTATGACAAGAGAAGGAAGTTTATTTAGGTTGACTGACTTCATAAAAATGCTGACATTGATTCAGTGGCAACCCTAGATCGATATACAACAAGGATGGCAAAAGAAGTCAAAGTTACAGGCTTACCAGCTCCTACAGGTTCTTATGCCGTTGGTTCAGTGGACCTAATGCATGAGGGACTCCTTGTACGCTTGTACTACCCAACTGAGAGGGAAGGAGCTGGTAATTATGAGTGTGGGAGTTTGTTCTTCAGAGGACGCTATTCAAAAGCTTTCTTGGGAGCATATGAAATAGAAGTTCAACCTGATACTTCTGACTTTCTAACTGGCAAGTATACTATTACCAAGTACACAATTCTACATAGATATTTCATTTAATAGATGTCAGCATGCCAGCTTATCTCAAAGCTCCACTCCTTAGTGCAGATAAGCATTGTTTCCCACTTATTGCAGTCAGTCCTGGTCTAACTGCTACTTTCTTTATTATAAGTGGAATTTGCTGTGATCTTGCATCTCATGGATATGTGGTAGCATCAGTAGAACACAAAGATGGATCCTCTGCTACTGCTCTACGTCGTGTACCTGGTCCAGGAGTACAGGAAGGAGATTATGATAATTATAAGGATGAGTTTATACCTTTTGATAATACTTATCCAATGCTGTCACCTAGTCTGTTAAGTAGTGGATTTGAACTTCGAAACAGACAAGTTAGTAAAAAATATTTTAAATAGATAAATCAATGCTTTATTTAGGTTAAAATACGTGCTGCTGAGGTTGGACAGGTTTATGATTTGTTTCAAACACTGAATGAAGGAGGAACAGTGAAGAACATGCTAGGAGGAGGAGACAGTTTTGATTTCGGTCAGTTTAAGGATCGTCTTGATCTTGAGAAAGTTGCTGTCATGGGGCATTCATATGGAGGAAGCACTGTTGTACAGACAATGGTTCAGGACAAGCACTTTAAGTAAGTATCATTATTTCAAGTCTATTGTTACTCTGTTTAGATGTGGATTAGCACTGGATTCATGGTTGTTTCCAATTGAAGAAGAAGACCTAGAGAAAAGTTTAGATAGGCCACTAGTTTTCATTAACACTGATACATTCCAGTGGCCAGAGAATGTTGCTAAAATGATGAAATTTGTTGAGAGAAATGAAGCAACCATGTACACACTAAAGTAATAACTTAATTGAAGTAAATTATAGAAATAAAATGTGTTTTCAGGGGATGTACTCACTTGTTACAATGTGACTTAATATTTATAAACATTCCTGGTTTCCAACATCTAAACCCTGACCCAATATTGGACAAGTATGTAGGCCATCAAGTACATATGGATCTCTGTCATGCATTTCTCAAAAGACATCTACTGACTAGTAAGTACATTAATTAACATGCTTATTCACATACATATAAAATAGCTCCTGAGTATCAAGGTGCTGTACCAATCCTGGATGGAGGAGAAGGCTCCTCTGAGCATGTTATACATGGGACCAATATTGATTGGAAGAGTACTGGTCAAGTAAGCAAGCTATAATGATTGTACAATAGTAATGTGTCCTTTACACTTTAGAGCAACAAGAATTAGAATCTACAGTAGAAGCAAAAACTGATTTATGTAGTCTCTCATGTAGTCTCTCATGTAGTCTCTATTATTTTGACAAAATCGTAGATATTAGATCTATCATATCAATTAAATGCATGGGTGGGCTCATCTGTGCTTGCATTTTGTTGGCTCCTCCTTTTTCTGAGACTCTGCTGAGTTGAACTTGATGATGGCAGAAGGGTGGAAAAACTACGGTATTTTAAGGGTTCCTGGCTTGCCAGCTCCTACAGGTTCTTATGCCGTTGGTTCAGTGGATCTAATGCATGAGGGACTCCTTGTACGCTTGTACTATCCAACTGAGAGGGAAGGAGCTGCCAATCACGAGTACGGGAAGCTGACATTCAGAGGATACAACTATGTTAAAGCTTTTTTGAATGCATACGATAAGAGTTTTACTGGGCTTTTTTCTGGTGTTTTTAACTTTCTGACTGGTAAGAGAATTTCAATCTCTAACTGCTTGTTAGCACCTAAAAGGTGTTAAAAATACCTCAGTTTATGACATGTAGCTCTATTATATCATAATCTTTTCTTTATTAATATAATAGATGTTAGAATGCCGGCTCACCTCAAAGCTCAACTCCTTTCTCCTCCTAGTGAAGGCTCTACTACAAAACAGTATTTCCCACTAATTGTGCTCAGTCATGGCCTCAGTGGCAATTTCTTTGCTTATTGTGCAATTTGTTGTGATCTTGCATCTCATGGATACGTGGTAGCATCAGTGGAACACAAAGATGGATCCTCTTGTACTGCTCTACGTCGTGTGCCTGGTCCAGGAGTACAGGAAGGAGATTATGATAATTATAAGGATGAGTTTATACCTTTTGATAAAACTTATCCAATGACCAGACCTCGCGAAGTAAGAGAAACTGGATTTGAACTTCGAAACAGACAAGTTAGTAAAAATATTCTTAAATAGATAAATCAATGCTTTATTTAGGTTAAAATACGTGCTGCTGAGGTTGGACAGGTTTATGATTTGTTTAAAACACTGAATGAAGGAGGAACAGTGAAGAACATGCTAGGAGGAGGAGACAGCTTTGATTTTGGTCAGTTTAAGGATCGTCTTGATCTTGAGAAAGTTGCTGTCATGGGACATTCATTTGGTGGAGGCACTGTTGTACAGACAATGGTTCAGGACAAACGCTTTAAGTAAGTATTGTTATTCAAGTCTATTGCTACTTTGTTTAGGTGTGGATTAGCACTGGATTCATGGTTGTTTCCAATTGAAGAAGAAGACCTGGAGAAAAGTTTAGACAGGCCACTAGTTTTCATTAACATTGATACATTTCAATGGCCAGAGAATGTTGCTAAAATGATGAAATTTGTTGAGAGAAATGAAGCAACCATGTACACACTAAAGTAATGACTTAGTTAAAATATGTTGTATTTATAAAAACTTATTTCAGAGGATGTAATCATGTTACACAAACTGATTCTGGCTTTGTAGAAGTTCCTGGTTTAGCAAAGATGTATCCTGACCCAATACTGGACAAGTATGTAGGTCATCAAGTGAATATGGATCTCTGTCATGCATTTCTTAACAAACATCTACTGAATAGTAAGTACACACAATATATTAACATGCTTATTCATGTATTCTTCCAATAGCTCCTGAGTATCAAGGTGCTGTACCAATCCTGAATGGAGGAGAAGGCTCCTCTGAGCATGTTATCCTTGGAACCAATATTGATTGGAAAAGTGCAAAACAAGGAACCACTCCTTTACCACTTGAGCCCAGTACTCAAAATCCTGATCAACAAAGCAATCAAAAGCCTAAAGCTGACCCTGATCAACCAACCAATCATCAAGAGCCTAAAGCTGATCCTGATCAACCAACCGATCAAGAGCCTAAAGCTGATCCTGATCAACCAACCGATCAAGAGCCTAAAGCTGATCCTGATCAACCAACCGATCAAGAGCCTAAAGCTGATCCTGATCAACCAACCGATCAAGAGCCTAAAGCTGATCCTGATCAACCAACCGATCAAGAGCCTAAAGCTGATCCTGATCAACCAACTGATCAAGAGCTTACCACTGGTGATGTATCAAGTAAGCAAACTGGGTACAAAATGATAGTATAATAACAATACTTGCACTTTTATTTAAAGAACAAGATGAAGAGCCCAATGAATAATGAAGAACAAGCTATTGACTTCTCATTAATAATTTTACTAATAATCGCTAATTTCTCTTTTAAAGATACATAGATACTATTATGATTGTTAAATTTTAGAAACTAATAAGACTGAATTGAAGTTTAAGTAAATAATCAAATCAAAGAAATCATTAATGATGATGATAATAATGGTAATCATTTCACATAAGAGGATTGCTCAGTTATAGAGTCTCTATAGTATATCATAATGAGGGGAAGAAATGTGTATGTGTTAAGCATTCACAATGATAATAATAATGAAAGAGTGTAACAACTAATGATAAATATTATCTTGTAGGAGGAAACCAAGATGATGAAAATCTAGTTTTCTTATTATTATTATTATTATTGTTATTGCTATTAGAATTAATTTTGGATTCGCCACTCTTTCCCTCCTTGGCTTTACTCTTATCGGCGAGAGAGATCCTTTCCTGCTGCCCAATGTTCAAGTGATGATGGTGTCCAACAGGTCCCTGTAAATGACGAGAATAAGGCGACCATGGGATGCCCTGAGGGGTCAGGTGAGTAGTGTGGGCGGCTGCCGGCATGAGAGAGTGTAACTGTGGGTGGGGCAACTGATGTGAGGGCCACACATGAGCTGCTGCAGCGGCAGCAAGGGAAGGATGATGTGACTCAAAACTATACTGAGGATTAACCGAAGCTCCTCCCCCTCCCCCTGGCTGAGGAAAAGGGAAATGAGGGTGAGTAGGCGTGGCTGACGCTAAGTGATGATGAGAGGAAGAAGAGTGCTTACCAGTTGACGAGTAATAATGAGATCTTGAGGACAATGAGCTGGAAGAGGTTTTATTGCCAACGTCTTTTGTCTGATGATACGTAGTGGGAGGAGCGGGCCAGTTCCCTTGTAAGGCAGCAGGTGTGATTGATAATTGGTGAGGGTGCTCCATGTGCTCAGGTGGGTGGGGCCAAGGATATGTGACCTGATACGGATATGGTTGATGTGAGTAGACAGCCCCTGGTGGCTGGATCTTGTTATATAACTGAGAATAAGGACCGTGCAGCTGGGAATGAGGAAACCCACCACTCCAGGTCATGTGACCGCTAGAGATGTTCCCACTAGTTGCCATGGCGACGCTACCGTGTTTAGTAACAATAGGAAGTTGTGGGTGTGGCTGAGACGAAGTGACTCCCGAGGTGTGTTCAATATCAGCTGATGATAGTCTGGTTTCGGGTGTACCGTGACATATTGTATAATTAACCTCTTCTTTTGATGGAGGCTGGTTAGGAGTACCTGCGGGCGTGTGTAATGGGGTTTGGTTGCTAGGGGCAACATGAGATGAGTCTTTGTGATCCGGTGGGCGTGGCTGGGACGTGGTCATATGTAGAGACTTGACTGATTCAGGGCTATCATTAGGAGGAGGGGACTCTGAGCTAGGTACTTTCTCTTCTAAATCTCTTTTCTCCTCTTTCTCTTCCTCCTTTACTTCTTCTTCCTCCTCCTCCTCTTGCTCTCCGTTACCTTCAGAGGCACTTGAGGTCACATCGTCTGATGATGGAGTGGATATATCATCAGGTACTAGAGGAGAGCGTCTCCTCCGAACAGAAGATCGGACTAATTTGGATTTGTCTCTCTTGTTATCCTCTTCCTCCTCTTCATCCTCCTCCTCCTCCTCCTCCTCTTCATCTTCTGATTCATCTTCTTCCGAGTCTTCTTTGGTCTTTGCTAGTCTCTTTGATCTCCTAAGCTCCCCCTGATTCCCCCCGAGATCCCTCACAGATCTCTTTCCTCTATTATTAGTACTGTTATTGCCACTCTTAGATATTGAGGATCTTGGTCTTAAGTTAAGGCGTCCATTAGTCTCCCACATGCTTCTAGAGCCTCCGAGACTCTCTTTGCTCGGTAGTCTTAGCATATTTGGGCCTTTTACCTGTTGCTGGGATTTGTGAAAACTAATAACGCTCTCAAATTTCCCTCTCCAGACAGCTTCAGCAGCTTGATTAGCTAACTGGGTGGAGAATACATACTTTGGTTTCATGTCGCTTGTGGTATTAGACGATTTAGTGCTAGACTTTAACTGTGAGCCTATAAAAATAGAAAAATAATAGCTTTATAAATATTACATTTTTTGCTTGCAGGTTTATGTGTAATTTAGTATATAAAAAAAGCAAAGGCTATAGCCCATGGTTTTTTCAAAAAATTAAGTCTGAAATCACCCCCAATTTTTATTACATTTTCTTATACATATTTGTTTCCTAATCCCTTTTGATAAAATATCCTGTACTATAGTACAAGGTCTTTGGCTCAAGTTTTATAGTAACTTTAAAATTTCCAATTTTGACTAATCTTTTCTAACCTTCTTTTACTGATGATGTCCTCATTTTCTTCTTTTTACTTGTCGTCCCTTGGCTTAGCCTTCTCCTCTTCCCTCCTTTAGTTTGTCCTTTAGATACTGCTCCTCCTCCACCAGTTCTGTTTGGTGTTCCAGCTGGTATCTTTATTTTCTCACCATTAGCGTCCAAGAGCTCATTCAGTTTAGCTATTTCCTCTCTAACTCTAACACAGGTCCTCTTTGAGCGAGAGCCTCCGTCTTTCCCTGGCTCTACGCTCTGTGTCAGTTCGCTGAGGGTCTTTAGATCAACATGATTCGGATTGAAATACTTCTTGAGGTCAGGGGCTGGGCCAGAGCTGTCTTTCCTGCCAGAGGATTTACCAGGAGAAGGAGGAGAGCCAGTGGAGGGGCTATCATTAGATTCATTCTGAAATAAAAGAGAAAGTAACATCATCATCATCATCATCATGCGCACACACACACACACACACATATACCTCGGTGTCTGGTTCTTGTATCTGCTTCCTCTTTCTCTCTGTTTTCTTGGCTGCCTCCAAGTGACGTCTCAATATACTAACAATTAAAGATGGGACTTTCTTTTGACGAGCAGGAGGTCGTTGGGCGCGCCCTTTTTTGGTTGGGGCTTGACTTTTAACAACCGGCAAAGGTTTCTTCTTCTGTAATCTTTTGACGGTTGTAGCTCTATAAAAATAAATAATATTATAATAAGTTACATGTAAGTTTAATAACTAATATAGAATTACTTCTGTTGCTTCTTAGACTCAACAGGAGCTGAAGATTTCTGAGGTTTCTTTGCTGCTTTTTGCTGCAGAGCTTTAACAGGACGAGAAACCGAGCGAGAGAGGTCTTTAACAGAACGACCAGTAGCCTTCTGTCTCTTAACAGGAGCCTTGCTCTTAACCGCACCTCCTTTCTTCCCTTTGATTGGCTTAGAATGAACGACAGGCGGCGGTTCATCATCATCAGAACTGTCATCAGTGGAAGAAGAGGAGGAGTCAGAGGAGGAGGAAGACGATGAAGACTGAGCTCCTCCCTGTGACGTTACTCTTGATGACAGGAGAGGTTGTACTTGTCTTGATCCATTATTGACTGACTGTTTCTTCACTTTGTCTTTTCTCTCATCATCAGAGCTGCTCTCAGACTCACTGCTGCTCTCACTAGAATCACTCTCAGACTCTGCCCCTTCTTGTCTAATCGCTGGAGACTCCTTACGGGACTCTCCTCCCCCTTTCTGAACAGACGTCAAAAGCTCTTTATCAGGTACTCTATAATGCTGGGGGGTCTCTTTACGAAAGGACTCCACCGGTTTAACTGGTGATGAGACTCTTGGGTCTTGAGTTCCAGTAGGGTCAGGTTTCTTGTTATTCCCAGCGGAGGGCGAGGGCTCTTCAAACTGATTCGGTTTTGAGGGTATCTCGAGTATCTTTAGCAGCTCCTGAGGTGTGTATTCTTTCCTTTTTGGTTTGGCATCAGACACTGCTGGACTATTAGAATGATTTTTATTGACATTGGCAGTGGGAGGAGTCACAAAAGGAGGAGGAGGGTTGCCCTGGTTAGCAGGGAGCACAATAGAACGTGCAGAAGCAACAGGTTTTTGCTTACGAGGAGTTTTCTTTGGTCGACTCAAAACACCGGAAGTGGGTGGCACTAGCGGTGGTACAGAGGGGAGGGGTTGTCCCCCCGGCCCGTGCAATGATAGCAGTGTCTTTGCTGACATCACCTCTTGTGTCGTCCTTCCTTTAGTAGCTAGTTCTGTCAATGCAGCTATGGCATTACTCTCACTCATGGTATGAGAATAAGTAGTGGGTGGGGGAGGACCTGTTGCTATGGAGACAACAGGTAGATGAATTTGAGAAGAGGAAGTAGGAGGGACTTCATTATGATTTGTTTGTCCACTGGCAGCAAGAGGGTCCTTCTGTTGCTGTGAGAATGACTGATAGACTAGTGTCCCCTCATGAGCGGTGAATGAAGAATCCAGTGAGACCTTTCTTATAGGGACCTCTTCTAATATCTCCAAGGACTTTGTGTTCTTATCTATCAGGCCCATCTCAGCTTCTGGCTCCACCTTCAGTATCTCGACCCCACTAGCTGAGAACAGAGGCTCTTTACTGCTTTGAGGAGGAGTAAAGAACAGTTGTGGCTGTTTCTTCTTTGAGAGCTCTTCCCCTTCCTTCATCAACTGGACTGGCGTGAAAAATGAGTGCTTGGGTTGGGCGGGGTTAGTTGCCACGGAAACAGCGGCATAAGGCTGATAAATGTTTTTGGGTGCTTCGACTCTTTGAATGACGACCTCCTCCTCTGACGAAGGAGGGGGGAGCGGCTTGGAGTCTGTCTTGTTCTTCTTGGTATTGTGTGATTTATCTCTTGATGTGATATCAGGAGATTCTCTAATACTGAGAGTAGGATGAGGAGACTCAAATGAAACTATAGAAAATAAAACAACAACAACAACAATAATAATAATAATAATAATAAGAACTGTAAACAAATATTGTATTATTAATATTATTATTCATTAATAACAATTACAGCTAAACTCACAATAGGTGTAATATAAATAAAGAGTATACACTCATACACAATTGCACATTCATAGAGTCTGGAGTGCATTACTCCTTTTTAATGATGCTAGTAGTGACAGACATGCCAGACAATAAAACCATACCATTAGCACTTATATACAGTGTAAATACACTAAGTGAGGCTACAGCAGCCATACCTGTTTACTATGATAAAAATTCTAATTACTATAAACACCAGGAATTTATAATATGGAATGGACCACACACAATAGAGTATACAAGTGTAAATGATTCTTTGAATGTTCATATCTCAAAATCAGTCCACAAAATTGACTCACAAACTTCTACAAAAACTAGCCCCCCAAAATTGGTTGTCTCTATTCCAAATGACCTTGGAATTGACTTTTAAAAATTCTACTCGACATAACGAATCAATTGTACGATAAAATTGGAGAGTAGGGTAGACATACAGTGGGAGCTGAAAGCAGCTTGCCCATGCTAACTCACTCATTCGTGAAGCTGTAAACTGAGAAGATGAGAGAGGGGACTGTGTCTCTATATTTCGAGGAACTATGACTGCAGTATTAGCAAGCAATAGAGGGACACCAGAGAATCCCCCAGTACCCCCACCTCCCTGTAACATGTTAGATGATGGTACCACCAGTATGGAACCCTGCGGGAGTCCCTGGGGCACTTGAAGTGACGTAAGATTTGAGGCTTGTTGGATAGCAGCAGAAGCTGCTGATGCCATGTTCTGTGCTATTGAGGACGTGGTCAATGGGGAAATGTTTCTTTGCCGGTGGGTAGAAGTGGCAGCTGGGTCTTTGGTCTTACGCTAATTGAAATAAAAGAAATAATAAATATTAATGAAACACTAAAGTGGTAATCAATTTTATGTTAAAGCTACACCTGTACCTTTGTTGCTATTTTAACTCTTGAGAGATACATTTGTTTTATAATTTGTGCCAGTTTTGAGTCCGGCTCATGACAGCTGGACCTCAACTGCCTATTAACATTAAGAGTAAAATGTTGATTAAACAATTGTACAGTACACTGCCTTACTTTAGTTTGTTTTGCCATTGAATGAAGGACTTGCAGACTAGAACTAGCTCAGATTCTCTATAAAAGGACAAATGAGCTGTCAATAATGTACTAATGCACAATTATACATGTAGATATCAGAAAAATTATAAAAATAAAGAATTTTTTATATTCCTTTTTTTGGTGAAATTTGGCCAAAGACCCAGTACTATAGTACAGTGACTTTGGCCCAATTTTTGAGCAACTTTAAAAATTCTTTAAAAATCAAATTTTGATCGGAACCAGCTCAAACTTTCTACACAACACCAGAACATGTATATACATCAGATAAAATTATAAAAATGAAGAATTCTCTCCTTTTCATTTTTGACAAAATCTGGCCAAAGACCAAAGGCTATAGCCTTTGGTTGTTGGTCTAATTTTTGAGTAAATTAAAAAAATTGTTAAAAAATTCAAATTGAATCAAAATTAATTTGATTAAATTCAACTCCAACTTAATACACATAAGATGTGCTTGGACAGTTAGAATTGGTTCAATCATTGAGTAATCAATTTTTCACTGTATAATGTAGCTGTAGTTAGTTACTGCTAGCTACAACTGAAAATATTCAAACTAAAGTGTTATTATTAAACAACACTGCAATAAAGGTGACTGTTATTATCACTATTGAATCGTTTATCATTTTCACTGACTTTGGTTTGGCAAATGAATCCCAAATAGGTGGAGACTGATAAAGATTCCGACCTGAAAACAAGTCAAATATTTTAAACAATACACACACACTGCATGTACTTACCCCCATCATACCAGAATACATTATTCTGAGAATCAGAGCCTACTCTTTCAAGAGATGACTAGAAAAAAAGAGAAAGATTTCATTTATTGGAGTATAACATTCTCCAGCTCACAATGTCGGTTGGCTTATAAAGAGGCGAGAAAGAGTGTCTTTGTAACATGGCAAGCTTCTGCTGTGCCAGTTTCAACTGCTGAGAAGTGACATCATTTGCACCAAGACCAGGTGGTTCCCCTGTCTCTAACCACTCCTTCTCTTCCAACTTTATACCCTTCATCATCCAGGGACTGCCCTCAGGGGGAGTTGCCATAGAAACAACAGGACCCGTGGACACAGAAGCTTCAGTTGAGAGAACAGCAGCATGAGAGGGTGAAAAAGAAGAAAGAGAAGATGACACTTGGGAAGAACTATCTTCATTACTAGTAGCACTACAAATTGTAACAGAGTCAGTATTGACTAATACTTGAGTTGTCGTAACTTGAGAATTATCCTCTGGGGGTGTGGTTAAACTAGAAGAAAGAGGTGGGGTCACATTAGAGGGAAGAGACGAGTGGCTCGTCAAGACAGAGACGTGATGAGGTATTGTCTTGTGATAAGAGCCAAATGTGAGTGGAAGAGACGAAGAGCTAACATTATGAGGAGGAGCACATGGAGTTGATGAGAGAGATATAGGAGATGCACATATGGAGGAGAATGGAGGCAGTGTTGAAAAAAGACTAGAGATTGAAGAAACTACATTGTTTGAAGATGACGAGAGAGTGAGAGAATCTGGTGAGAGCGAAGGCAATACAACAGGACAGGGAGGAGGTAGCACGGTTTGAGACCCAGACTCTGGTACCAGTTTAGCCTCAGTCTTGGTGTCAAAAGAGCCTCCAGCTCCATCACGAGGAGAGGGTGTATGAGGATGATTACTGGAGGATGTGTCTATAAGTTCATTAGTAATACTTACTGGTACATCACCAGCATCCTCACTTATCTCATTAGCAACTAACTCAACCTCCTCCTTTTCTGATTCAGCCTCTACTACCACTACCACTGCATCACTTGTTATTTCTTCTTCTTCTATACTGATTGTTACTACTTCCTGCTCAGTATCATTGTCCTGTATATCGCTTGGTACACTAGTAGTAGCATCATTACTCATTACTTCTTGTACATTATTATCTGATGCACTACCAGTGATTGGTGGATCCATTACCTCCTTCTCTTCTTCTTCATTATCATCCTCAGCTACTCCACTGCCTTCTGTCTCTATACTAACATCAGTTTCAGATTTTGATTGCTCAGTTTCCTCAGCTTCAGTTTCTTGTTCATCATCATCATCATTGGCTATTTCTTTAGTAATAATGGCAACTCTTTCAACCTCATGATGCTCTTCATTAGAAACAGCTTCCTCCTCAGATATAGCAGTAGAGCTTGATTCGTGCACATTATCTGTATTTACATATGCAATTATCATTTGTTATAAAAGGAAAAGGAATGGGATACCTTTAGTAGTAGGAAGCTCTTGCTGCTCTTCCTTCATTTCTTCTTGAGAGTCTGTGACAATGCTTAAAGACTTTCTCTCTTTCTCATCTTCTCTCTCGAGCAAATCTGTGCTACACTCCATAGCTTCTTCTGGCAAGTTAGCTCCTTCCATGACTTCATTTTCACTTTCATGTAATTCTAAGGAAATGATCACAATATCAATAGTTTGTTTAGCAATAGTTACAGTATTACCTTCATTACAACATTTAATTTCACTTTCTTTGATGCACGGTACCACTTCCATTTTCAATACTTCTTCTTCTTCTTCTTGTTGGACTGAGACATCTTTAACATCAGTTTCTCTGAGTGAAGTGTCACTGTCCTTTTCTACATGAGCAGTAACTTCACTGGCTTCTTCTATCAGACTATGCACTTCTTTCTTAAATGATCCAGTCATTCCAGTGGCCTCAGCAGTAGATTCAGACAAATGTTCAATAGTTGCTTCATAAGGATCCTCTTTCTCCTCTCTTACCATTACTTTGGGTGCTACTATATTAGAAACAGCACTGGACCCAGTCTGTATCTTTTCAACACTCTCAATTTGTGAACAGTTTTCTTCTGCTTTTACTTCATTCATTTCAATAGGAGGTACAGTAGTTCCTTCGCCGACTGAGATATCTTTGGTTTGATTGATATCACAGGATAAACTTTGACCATCATTCTTGTCAGTAGCAGAGACCAGCTCTTGTCTTTCTTCATTAACTACTTCCATTGGCTCCTCATTTCTGTCTTCATCTGTTTCACTGGTATTATCTTCAGCTGTTTCAACAATGTCATTGTTTAGATCAATAGCAGGAGGCTTGGTTATCATACCCAGGCCTTTATCTTTCTCATCCAGCCTTACTTCCTCTTCTATTGAGTCCTGAATACAATCAGCATGATGCTCCTCAGAGGAGTTGTCTCCTTCAGTCACTTCAGGATATGATGTCTCTTCATTCTCTCCAAAACTTCCTCTCATGGTTTCAACCACAGGCCCTCCATCAATAGCAGCAGACGGCTCATCCTCTGAAACCTTCTGAGTATCTGAGACATCAGTGATAGAAGCATCATCATTAGATATAGTAGGGGCAGCATCATGACTACTTGGTTTGTTTAAGGTGCTTGGTCCACTCCCTTTTGTTTCTATATATGAGCTAATAGAAAAAGAAGAGGAGGAAGGGGTTGACGAAGAGAGTGGTTGAAGTGCTTGAGAATAATGAGTTTCAGTGGACACAGTTGTAATAACTGTAGTACTATGACAATAAACCACACTTATATCAGTTGATTTAATCATACAAGGAGCAGTCCGAGATCCAGCACCACTGCATCCATTATCAGTGTCTTGTATCTGGGATTCCAAAGCTTCTTCTTTGTTAGCTACAGCAGCAGTCTGTAGTAATGTAAGCTCATTATTGGAAGAGGGAGGTATTACACAATGATCTTTAGGTGAATGACACTCTCCAGCAGATAATGACTTTGTTTGATTGTCATGCACTTCTGTCTCAGAAGATATGCTTGTTTCGGTTCTTTCCTCAGGCTCATCATCATCATCATCATCATCATCAGAGGGTGAGTCAGGATAATCAATGGGCAAGGTGTAGTGCGATATAATATTAACTGTTGGAGCAAATGAAGGCTTTGAGTCATCCTTTAGCTGCTCGCTATCGATCCTCCCTTCTTCTTCTTCTGCCATAATAAGCTAGTCATAAGAGAGAGAGAGAGAGAGAGAGAGAGAGAGAGAGAACAAGAGTAAGAGTATGTGAGTAGCTCAAGGAATGTTACAGTGTTTGTCATAACTAACAGATGTGCATGGCACAGAAGGAAATTGATTATCAACAGGAACTGCATTCCTTTGTTAAAGAGTAACCAGAATATTTTTATAATTATAAACACCAATAGCTTTTTAAAGGTCTAGTGACCTTAAATAACATGCATCCAATCAAGAGGTGCAGCTGCTAAAATGTAAACGACTGCTAATGATAAGCTTTCACATTCACAGCAACAACAAAAGGCTTGTTATTCTAAGTGCATGCAAAGCACAGTGGGCTGACTATATGTATCAGAAGTCCTCTGTCTCCTCTCTCTCTACCTAGCCCTCTCTTCAGCATCTTTATAATGATGCAATAATTAAATTAATAGATCTAATGGATTATGCTTTGAGTCTCTGATAGTGGCTGGGCTGTGTGAAGGCCAAATAAAATTGGAACATTTTGCACATTAGCTTTATTAATGCTGATGGTTCTAGGACTTGTGATTCATGCTAATGGGCTATCCTTGACACGAAATGTAATATCACATTAGGAAATAGAATAGAAAGGCTAAAGCCAATAAGACAAACAATCTTAAGTTATCAAAACCACCATCAGTGTCCACCGCGGCTTCGCGCTTGCTGTTCGCTTCTTTTCTCGAGCCTTTCTTTCTTTCTAAAATTATGATAGAATATAGCAAGCGCCCCATTAAAAAGCTATTGCCCTGTCTAAAACAGGAGACGAAGGCCGGGGTGCTCTGGGCCATTTCTTGTACAACACAAGAAGGATCATACAAACACATGGTCGACCCTACCACATAGAAATATAGAACTAACCTGTCCTAGAAGACAAAGAAGTGAGAGTCTGATAGGACAGCAGGAGGATTTGGGGCGGCTTTACTATTATGAACTTTCTCTTTCTAAAGAGATATTATCAAAGAAAGTGAGAGAAAGAGTCAATAGATGGGTCAGATTAGGTATTGTCCCTCAGCGAGTAGCTCACTTAAACAGAAAGGAATGCCAACACACTTGCTGTCATCCAACTATGTCGCCTTTTCTCTCTATCTAATTTATCATGAACCGGAAACTAATTTTGTGCTGTATAGGCCAGACCGGGAATTAGCATGGTAACATTCCATAAAAAGAAGGAGGGGCTACTTAGGTGCACACGTGTTTTCCGTGAACTGCCGTAAATTTGAGAAAAGATGGGCAGATCACGTGATATTTGCTCACGCCCCTCAAAAACATAGTGTTAATAGGTGCGAAAAGTGGAGGTACAAGAGAGACGGAGTCACTTGTTTAGTACCCAGTTTCCTATAGCTCTCCTGCTCTCCCTGCTTAATAAAACTTCCAAAGATTACCTTGCCTCTAGTGTTAATTCAACGGAGACATGCCGTACGTTTTCCATACTAAAGTTATTCAGAGCATATTGGACCCTGTGGCCCAACAGGTACAGCACACTGGCAATCCAACTATTCTGCTCTTCCTTTATCTTCTATACTGTATCAGTGCATGCATAAAGATTGTTTGTGTGTCCTTTTTGTATTTGTTGTAAACAGTCCCTCTATTTGAAACTGTACCATCTCTAGCTCTATAATATACACATTGCCTTATATGGACATTTATATGTTGTTTTGTAATCAAAGTGGCCACGCTCATTAGTGTGGAATTTATGTATTTTGTACTTTTTTGGTCATGTTTGTTACTTGTCTACCGTGTACACTAGACTATAGCTCATCCTCTGTATCATTTCTTATTGGCAGGTCTCTCAATTAGTGATACTTCACGAAGAAGCTGAAAAGGGTAGGATTGTGTCCGATCTCGTCCAACCAGTCACTGCAGTCAAGGCTGCCGTTGATAACCTTGTGGAAGTAAGAGAAGAAACTGAAACGAATAGCATCCAGCGAACGTCGTTTTTATTTAGGTTGGTAGGCAGACATTGAAATCTGCCAAAGATGAAAAGGTTCACACAGACATGCCTCCTACATTTGAAGCAATAGAGTCAGCTTGTACCCTTTTGTTGCAAGCAGCCAAAGGACTTAGTCAAGAAGAACAGACTCCTACTGATAAGAAGAAGCTGCTTGATGGATCTAGAGGTAAAGAGAAAGTGGGTCAAAGACTTGTTAAATAGTGCAAGACTGTAATAGCATTGTAGCAAATAATCCATGCATTTTTGAAATCATACATTCATGTATTAAAAATTTCATTTATACATGTGTATGTGTCTGTAACTCACATCCTTTCATACATGTATAAAGTCCTTGGGAAAACATGTTTTCTCTTTTCTTAATTTCATAAAAGAAAATGGTCCATAATTTGATGAAAATATTTATTAGAAACCTAAATTAAATTAACATGTTATGTTGTTTTAGTGAATTTGAGCAGTATTATATCCTAGTTGTTTATTTACTAATAGGTATTCTGCAAGGTGTGTCACACCTTTTGTTGGTATATGATCAATATGAAGTGAGGAAAATAATTAAAACATGCGAAGGAGTCATTGACTATATTAAAGTAAGAAAAGAGTAGGGGAAGAGAGAGAGAGAGAGAGAGAGAGAGAGTATAAGAAAGGAAGTGGAAAATGAGTAAGATATGGAAGGAAAGAGATGGTAGAGTAACTATAGAATAACAAACTAAACACTAAAAATTCTAATATAAAGATTATAAAATATGTACCCATAATAATTATAGTCCTACTTCTTTGTGTCTTATTTTTGTATTTCTGTATTTTAATTTTGAGGTTCCACTGTATACTACACTTGGAGCATTACATTTTACTGTTTGTTACTGTAGGTTGCTGAGATAGTCCAGAGTATGGAGGAATTGCTCCAATTTACAAAGAACCTTTCACCAGCTATTACTAACATGACCAAGCAAGTTGACGGCAGGAGAGAAGATCTCACCAATGCATCACACGCTGCCATACTAGAGGATGAATCGGAACAAGTACGATAATAAATTTGATTTATTACAAAAAATTTTGAGAACCAATTTGATTGGAATCAGCTCAGACATAAAAGCACCAGAATTGTCTATTAGTACCATGTCTGTGGTTTGCTGATTATAGCCCAATGGAATGTGCATGCACATGTATAAAATGTACATGTGTAGCTCAAAAGGTCAAATGTTGTCATCTCACTCTTGTGTGTGGTAATTTATTTTTAGAATTTATTTTTAACATCTAGTGTCGATAGCTTCAGACATTCTTTACTGAATTCCCTGTTGTAAACTAATTTAATGTATCTACTATCTATCTTCATTCTCCTTGTATACCTCTCTCTCTCTTTTTAAGGTAAAGAAAGGATTGCCTCTGCTTCTCTCTGCTATGAAAGCATTTGTGACCATCAAACGTGATGGCCGTAAGGGAGCTGAAGATGCTCAAGAAAACAGGTAACTAATGCTAACTATTGCTACATTAATATTATATTACAATACATTGGAATACTGCCAGTCATAAGACTATCAATGTTATTATTATTATTATTATTATTATTATTATTATTTTATTAGTATTATTTATTTATCTATTATTATTATTATTATTATTTATTAGGAATTATATTGTTGGTGCTATTACTGACTCAATCCGTGAGATTATTCGTGTCCTTCAGTTGACGTCACCCACTGAAGAGCTAGGGCCTCTTGCTGGAGCAGGGGATGAAGGAGCTTGGGGCGCTCCGCCCGGTTCAATTGCAGCCAAAGTCATTCAAGCAAAAGAGCTGTTAGAGGAAACTGGTAAATGATAATTTGTGCACATTTGCATGAGAAATTTATAAAATAATATATTACTTTTAGTTTGTTTAGTGTGGCTTTACTATACTTTTAAAATTGAATTAGTTACAGACGTGTATGTGTGTATAGTTTGTGTAACCTACATTGTACTACTATGATTCTAAATCTTACTCTATCTTTCACACTCTCCTTTCTCTTAGGAAAGAGCACAGAGACTGATGAAGCTGGAATAATGGCCGTCTCATCCGTTACAAGTGAAGCAAGAATATTAGCCCAAGCATTTTCTCCTGAAAAAAGGTTTACTCCATTAACTAGTCTAACTGGTTACCCTGACCGGTTTTTCAATATAGGGCAGAGATTGAGAAGATTTGTGATGAAATTGATACTTTGGCAGCTGGTCTTGCAGCGCTACAAGCAAGAGGAGAGGTAACTTGGGCTATGGGTATTGTTATTATCACTAATGATACCAAACAGACTAATTTGGCTTTAAATGAAATTTTAATTGCCGTGACTTAGAAATTGCTGAAAGGAATATTTGCCCTTTTATGCATGCAGTACAATACTAATTGATTGAGTGACACTTTCTTTTATCATGTATCATCTTTGGTATTATGCATGTAGGGTTCCAGTGCTGAGGCAAAGGCACTTGCAGCTGCCATCAGTCAGAAACTTGATGTTTTGGAGAAGGCACTAAAAACATCCACTACAGCAAATGTAAGTACCTTTATTTATGTAGAAATAGAGAAAGGATTGTAGTCTAAATTGATAATTATTTTGACTAGTCTTCACTTATTCACACTCCCATTGTCTGTCTATCATTGATGTCTGTAGATTGTTACTGAGTTTAAAGATCCATTGAGACCTCTTCAAAACCTCACCGAAGCAGCTCAAGCAGCAGTTGGTAAGTACTGTTTTTCAAAGTGTTATTAGTCATTGATAATAAGGCATTATAAACTTTAGAGCTGATTCTTACGAATATTGGATTTTTATAAACTGTAGTGCAGAATCTCAGCCAAATTTTTCCAAAAAATAAAAGTAGAGAATTCTTGATTTTTATAATTGTTGCTGATACATATACATGTACATAATTTTATGTTATTTTTCAAGTTTAAGCACATTTTGATGAAATTTGAATTTGTAAATAAATTCTTAAAGTTGCTCAAAAATTGGTCAAAAGTCCCTGTACTATAGTACAGGGACTTTGGCCAAATTTCATCAAAAATGAAAAGGAGAGAATTTTTAATTTTCATAATTTTTTCTAATACATATACATGTTCTTATGTTATGTTTTAAGTTTGAGCTCATTCCGATCAAAACTGGATTTTTTCATGAATTTTTAAAGTTGCTCCAAAATTGAGCCAAAGTCCCTGTACTATAGTACAGGGATTTTGCCCAAATTTTGCCAAAAATAAAAAGTACAAAATTTATAACTTTTATAATTTTTTCTGACACATATACATGTTCTTGTGCTATGTTTTGAGTTTGAGCTCATTCCAATCAAAATTGGATTTTTTCATGAATTTTTAAAGTTGCTCAAAAATTTGGTACAGTACATGTACATGAAGATTGAACTTATGGTGGGTCCGAAAGAATAAACTTTTAAAATGGTGTTTAAAATTTCTAGGCACACCTGGAAGAGATGAGAAGTTTGCTACAAGAGTCTCAGAGTTTGATAAAGCTAGCATCAGAATGGCCGAGACTGCTCATGATTTTGCTAAATCTGGTGGAGTAATGGACAAAAAAACTGCCAATGATATCATATCCACATCAGGAAAAGTAAGAGTAGAAATAATGAAAATAAAGCACTTTCTTCATCTCGCAGGCTAAAGCTCTAGCCCCTCAAGTGGTCCATGCTGCCAGGATGCTCTTTAACAATCCTGACAATGAAGTAATATTTGTTTATTTTTGTGTAGATTAATTATTTTCTGTCGTTGTAGGTTACTAAAGAGCACTATGGTCAGATAAAGGACGACTATCAAGGTGAAGTACTGAAGTTACAAAAGCTGGTCGATGGGGCAGTTGATCCAGTCGAATTTGTATCTCTATCAGGTACACTGTTGGTATATGGCCTTTCATTTATTATTATCATTGTGTAATGTCTTTTTACAGATGAGCAAATAAAGAGAGAGGTTGAAGAGGCTAAGGCGGCCATTAAAGCTGGTGACCCACAGAAAGCTTTCAATCATGTCTCCAATGCAGCAAGGCTGGCCAATAGAGTGGCTCAGATGGCTAAGAGTGAAATGGCTAATACTGAAGACCCAGCTTATTCACAGGAGCTACAAAGGGTTGCTGACAATGTCACATCAAGTAGGGAATTATTACTTTTCTGCTTTGTCATGTAAATTGATTAGTAATTAGTAACAACTGTTAATGTTAGTTTTTTTAATGATCAAATACATTATATATTCTGTACTCATTTTATGTGCATATACTAATATTCTTCCTTAGGTATTGCCCCTATGGTTCAAGCTGCCCGAGCTGCTATACAGCAACCAGCTAGTGAAGTTGCTCTTGCTCAATTCTCACAAAAAGCAGAAAAGGTGTCTACACTTTATTATCATTATCGTTACGATTGTGATTGCTCTCTTTTTCTTTCTTTAGCTTTCTAAGGAAGTTCGTGAGGTTTACTCAGTTCTTGATAATCATTACAATCCTCCTCCTCCTCCCTCTCCTCCTCCCCCACCCACTCCACCTCCTCCCGAAGAGCGTAAGTATCTTTGTGACTCTAGTCCTCTTTTTATCTCTTCCTTTCCTCCCCCCTCTCTCTCTCTAGCTCCTTCACGTCCTCCTCCTCCAGAAGACACAGCTCCCGAGAGACCTCCTCCTCCTATGGAAGAAATTGATGAAATGGAACAGGAGGCTCCTCTCCAATCCTCCAATCCTATTGCTGTAAGTAGCCCAGAGACTCCATAGTTTCCTTCTGTTGTTGCTTTCGTTCTCTCCTTTTTAGTTTGCTGCTCATCATCTTCACCAAGAGGCCAAGCAGTGGGATGATCAGGATAACAATATGGTTGCTGCTGCGAAGAGGATGGCAAGAATGATGATGAAAATGTCAAAGTTTGCCAGGTACAGTGCAATCGTTCTTGTTCATTTAAATAATGCTACATGGTATATCAGATTGCTTGATTTTAGGTTCATAAATAACTTATTTACCACTGGGAGGTTAATAAGTAAATTCTCGGGTAGCCAGAGGTTAATGGATTAATAATAAGTATAGCCTGGGAATTTACTTATTATTGACCTCTTGTTTAAAAATACTGCTAACTGTCTAAGTAAACCAAAAAGTCAGTTGCACAACTCTGTCGATGTTTTATGGCCTTATCAACCTTAAGCCTTGGCATGATAAATGTCATAGATACCTCACCTTTACTTATGATTGTTGCATGATGGTATTGTGCTTTCGTTTTTTTCATCAGAGGTGAGGAGGGTGAGATAAAGACCAAGGCCGATTTTATCAAGATGGCACGTCTCATTGCAAAAGAGAGTGAAGAGGTTGTGAAGCTTGCTAAACAAGTTGCAAATGCTTGCACTGATAAACGTATGAAGAGGGTAAGTAAGAAAATAAAACGGTATAGACATAATCATGATAATTTGTGATGACTTTAGACTCTCCTTCAAGTTGTTGATGCACTCCCTACTATTGGAACACAGCTCAAGATCATAGCAACAGTTAAAGCTACCAGACAAGGAGGAGATGGTATGCAGCAGCGCATCTACATACACAACAATTAGCTATAAAATTTATGAATGAATAATATGCAAATTACTAAGATCTTAGTATTGCTACTTCCTGCAACAGAATTATTTTTGTTCACACTTGACTCTATTCACGTCCATATACTGCCTTTGGATTATTAATAATAATTGTATTTTTATTTTTAGATCCTGAGGCTGATAAAGAAGCAACTGAAATGTTGACTGACAATGCTCAGAATCTCATGAAGGCTGTGTCTGAAGTTCTTTATGCAACAGAAGCAGCTGCCATCAGAGTACCTCCTGAAATCCGCTCCACTCTATCCGGTGTCACTTGGGTCAAGAAAGGGAAATCCAAAGCTTCCTAAGTCTGCCATTTCACAACGAGGGTCTCCAAAGACGTTAATTTTTACTTGATCAATTTTTTTGTTTTAAACCTTTTCATTTTTTCCCAATCATTGTAGTTGTTAGTAGGCAGCAACTTATTATTAATTTGTAGTTTTATTCTTATCCATCATGATGTTGATTCATGTATGCTTATTTTATTTTTTTGGAATGATGCTTAATGTTAACCTACATGTATAAATATTAATTTCAAAGGACTCTGAGTGATATTTAATTTAATACATCATCTTATTATGTGCAATGAGGAATATTGCTTTTTGTTCTATATATGGACAAGTATATTAATCAGCTGACTTGTCTGTCTGTCATTTCTCATTCATTTCTTGTCTGATATTAGAAATGATATTTTTAATATCATTATGTTTAATTCCCCTATCAACCAAAATATCATTGGGAAACTATTTCCACCAGATTAGCATTCACTAGCAGTCCTTTTCCTGTCTCACCTAGTCAGTGAACAAGGAACTGATTGAGGCATGCTTTAGTGGTCCTTTGAGACAGCTGCTAATGTCTTGTTGGGTTGTGATCATGTGGAAGTTAACTCTGCACTATTACTGTCATACTCTGCTAGTCTAGTAGATAGGACATAAAATTTGTCAGCTAAAAATGCTAATGACATATGTTTATGAATTCGGTTTGCCATTAAATGAATCTGGGCATAATTACTTAATATTTTAATGACAGACTTTTTGACTCATTGAATGCTTTCAGTGTCATTTCTACATGGCAAGCTAGACCAGGAAATTAATGTTTGGATGAATCGACAATTGTAACAATAATGAATGAAGCATGTATAAAAACAGTAACTCTAACTTGTTTTTGTGCAATATAAAGATCTTATTATTAAAATAGAAAATAGTTTTGATATTATTCATGTATTTTAAAAGCAATACTGCGGGGGCGGTAATGTTCCCACTAATATAAAATAATCTAGGGGGCGAGGTTAAAAACGCCACATTACGCAATCCACCCAATGGTATAAAATGGCTTACAGCTACAAAGAGAGCTCTAACTTGAAAGTTCAAAACTGCTCCTGCAGCGACACACACACGACAGAATATTACTGTTCTAAACTTCGAAGAAAATAACTACAATGTCTTCAATTAAGACGGATCGTTTTCAATTATCAATGAGCTTATCATCAGCCTCAAGCAGTGCTACTGGAAGAAACCGCCATTCTTCCTTCACTCACTCAATGTCGCCGGCGACATTAGAGGCTAGAGTTGTATGCGACAAGTTATTCGAGAACCTGCAACTCCTCATTCAATATATGGACTTTCCCAATCTTGCTCCTTTTGTCCTCAGGCACAAGCTAATGACTGGAGAAGAATACAGTCGTCTCACTGGACTGTGGGGAGGGAGACATCTCCAAGAAGCAATTATTGAGTTTCTTTTGACTGTGAGGCACAAACCTGATTGGGGACGCAAACTTATCACTGCACTTGAGGACTCTGTAACACAGCACAGTGATGGGTCAATTCATCTTGGTCATGTGTACATTTTGAAGGAGCTGAAAGAATGCAAAGCTCATTTTGCTAGTGGCCTAGAAAAGGTTAGAAATAATGATGATGATGATTGTGTGCATAATAAAATTGAAAACCAAATTGATCATGCATAGTTATTATTTTTATTCTCTTTGTAGGTCACAAGTGAGCTTGAATCACTCCTTCATTCTGTAGATACTTACAGCAGCTTGAGGAATAGGCATACTGTTGGACTCCTTACAACTTACCTTCCCCTCATCATGCAGTATACTGATATTGATATCATCCTGCCATTTCTCAAAGTCACGCGTATGCTAACAGATGAGGACTACCAGCAACTCAAGAAGATGTGGCTGAGCAGTCAAAGGAGAGAAGCAATTGAGACTCTTCTCTTTGTCATGAGCAGAAAATGCCCTGAGTGGGAGGACTGCTTTGTCAGTGCACTGCATCAGTCTTTGCACTCGGAGTATGGTGACTATCACGAAGGACACAAGCACATATTGGAGATACTGTTCCATGGAGATGATGAGGAATTGGTAAGTGTATTAATAAGCACGTTTTTGCTGGATACATATTGATAGCTATTGTTGATTTTAATGCTAAAATTATATGTATTTTAATCCTGTTATTTTATTTTAGAATCAACCTCGTTTAAGAAGAGCCAGTTGCCATTGTGACTGTCATCAATACACGGAGACATTACCAGCAGAAATATCCAGTGAAGAGGTATGTCTTGCATGAATTCATTAAAAAATATAAAGACAGCTATAATAGTGCTGTTGCCTGAGGTTTTTCCCACAACCCACTCAAATAATGGGCCTCTTGCTCATAGTGCTACTGAACATGGTGTGAACATAACAGACAATCGTTACTACCTTATACTGCACTTGCCCACACGATTTTGGCATCATGTGATTCATTTTGCCCACTGCACTACAATTAATGAATCATTGCTAATTATATACTATTAAATTATTATTATTATAACTTTGTTTACTTTTGTAGGCAGCTGCAAGTGCCAGTCAAAAAGCTGCTCTCGAGTTTCGTCAGAATGCAACCGAAACAATTCAAGGACTTTTTAAAGATTTGGACATGTGCTTAAAAACACTGTAAGCCATTAATGTAATGATAGTCCATACGGCATATAAATGCAATACAGTGGTACAGGCAATTTACTTTTTATTTTGTATTTCACAGAGAAACTACTCATACTGTTAATGTGAAATGGTTACGTGATGTTTCTGCTCAACTGGAATCTCTCTCCACCATCTGTTCTACCATGATGGACAAATGCCAGCACAAAAGGATACAGCAGGTGAGAGAAATTGATTCTTATAGTGCATTTTGTTTCATTGATGAGTTTTTCTCATGTCAAGTTGTACACAAGTTATTTATTGCCACTTAAAAGGTTTAGAGGTGTAACTCTATTCTTTTAATTTGAGAAAGCCTTGTACGCTGGTTGTTCATAGTATAAGTGTGAATGTGTCATAAGGCATTGTTGACACTTCACTTAATAACTAGTTCTTAACTACAGGCTGAATGCCTCTTTTGGAGTAGCAGACATGCACATGATTATACAGGGAAAATCCTGATGATCCTTATTTGTATAGAATGATCAACACAACAAGAGCCTCAAACCACTTCTATTGCAATTATATATGTGAATTATTCAACTGTGACATAAACAATGATATCAACGTTAATATAATCTTTTCTCTTGTATACAGGGTATTAAGAAAAGTCTTGGACAATTGGAGATTGGTGCCTCTGCCTTTGAGTCTCAAGTTGACAGGCACTCGAGGAAATACGCTGATAAGAACCAAAAAGGTATGCCTTAGATACAGTACAATCTATATATATTATTAGTAAACCCTAAGGCATTAATTATGTCAAGCAAAGTATTTTTTTTAATTTCACTATGCATATGCTCACAGACTAGCTTAAAATTTGTAGACTTACATGTAGCCACTGGCTCTGTTGTGGTTGCAGTGTGTACAGTGTGGAATGTTTGAGACTTGTAGCCTTGTACGCTTGATAATAAAGCTATTTGAAGAAAGAGTGGGCGCACAAACAAGAGACGATTGCACAAACCACTAGCATACATACCGGAATAGTTACAACAATTGAGGCTTGTCTGATGTTTTTTGTGCACCCCATTATCAAAGGCTTAAAAATTGCAACACATTGAGCTACAAAAATTGATTAACTGTTGTACACCATTGTATAATCATAATACTATCAATAATTACTAATTCCTTTTTTTTTATTATTAGGTAATGATTTCGTGATAAGACCCTCGTGGGTTGACTTCAAGGAGCTCAATGATCAAATGCATAATCTTGAGGAATACATTTTGGAACTTTTGGAATGGACTGACACTGCGTTTGCTATACTCTACCCCCACGATGACCTCATTTTCATCAGAGAATGGGGCCGCATACAATAATGAAGATAACCAGCCATTGACCCTTTAAATAGGCAGCTGGTCTGACCGCTCTATAAGAGATGAACCGGTTTCATCTTCCCTATACCCCCCCCAAGACCGGGACAAAGGCTGGTTATAAGATTCATAGCAAAGTTCCCTCATGTGTATTAATGTCACAATCCTGGCGCTTGTGACCCCTTCTTTGAAGACTTGGTGGGCTGGATCCACATTATTCCTTTCTACTTTCCCTTATGTCATTCATACCTTAAGGACATTTGCAAGCTAGTCTTGCTGATATTGTTTTATTAAGGATCATCCCAAAATGAACCATCATCGCAACACATTATACACAAATGGACAGTTTGACAACTCATGTATCATACAACAATGCATTATTATTACCTTTTTGATATTTTTTTTTTAATGTTAAAATAATATAAACCAATCTTGTCAGTATGCAATCAACTGCCAACTAGACTATAATGTCATTGCTACAGAAACTGTCAAAATTCTTTCTCATACTAATAAGTGACCCAATGTCTGCCTTTGAAAAGGTGATTCAATTGTCAATTGTAATAACAGTTTACATGGTCACTATGACAAATAATTATTGAGTATATTTATTAAGTGTCACAATAAAATCTCTGCATACATCACATTATTAACAAGAGGTTCCGTTGGATTAACTGTAGAGTCAACTGTGTTAGTGCTAATGCTTAGAGACTGAGTGAAATGTGGATGAGAATAAGCAGAATTATTCTGTGTCACAATATGTCGATTTCTTCTACCTATGAGGAAAAGGATATAATCCCATGTAATTATAATTAAAGCCAAATATGCTTGAATTTCCAGTCTTTTTTCTGTGGCACGTGTACCACACATATTGCTACACTTATATTCTAAGAATTTTTGCAACATATACACATAAGCATACGCTAAACTGCATAGAATGGCCCACACCCACACACACATACAAAGCCAACAGTCTAATAAATGCATTCCATAGCAGCAAAAATCTGTTATCAGACAAAGCCTTTCACTATAACTGAACCGGCAGTATAGTGAGAACAGACAAACACACACAAGGCATAAGGAAGAGAAGTCACGCAAACCCAGTGGCCATTGCTTCACCAATACTGCATACCAAAACCACTTACACACGCAATTTTGTAGAGGCACATTAAACAAGAACTAATTTGAAGCAAAAGCTGTACAGCATATGATCCCACTAATTGCTGTACTCTAATTGCTGCTGCATGCTCCCTCTAATTTCAAGCTACAAGTTGCAAACACTTGTTTTAAGTGTCATGAAATCGTGTAGCTCACTCATGTTGTATCTTTGCCTTCTTCTCAGCAAGCAGTATCCAATTGTAACTATTATTGTAGTGACCAGGAGTACAATGAATAAAACTATCAAAAAACAGATCAGATATCACACTGGAGGCCAAAGCCTTGTATGCTGTTACTCACATGTTAAAACCCCAACAGTGACAACCCATTTCATATCCAAAAAAGCATCAAGATCAGCCATAGTGTAGCCTAGGAGCAGCAAAAAGAGAGAGAGAGAGAGAGAGTTCAGAGACAGGAAGGAGCAAATAGTAGTAGTCAGCCAGTGACAGTTATTTTATTCCAACCCATTAGGAGTTGCTAAGTGCGCAGTCTAACTATTACGACTACTTAGTGTTGATAGAGATCATTAATGATTCCGGTATAGTAAAATTATCATATCAAATAACATATGTCCATATAATATTTCTTAGACAGCTTTGTCTCGACTAACTCCTAATAGCTACAAATGGTACAAGAAAGAGATAAAGAGACACGTGAATAGCGTATGAGTCCTATTACCTTCAACTCTACACACTTCAACTTGGGAGTCCCAGCTCATTAAACGCGATATCCATATCCTTTGCTTATTGGACAGTCTATCACCAGGTCCCTTAACCTCAACAAACTATCGTAAAAAATATCATAAAAACAAGAGCATGTACATGTGTACATGCACCAAGCTCTCGATTAATTATTATACTGATAAATGAAGGGAAGGTATTTACAATCAGTGGCTTAAAATCTCCACACACAGCAACTTAGACGGTTTTGTTATACAGGATATAGCATGATGATAGTATAGCACTAACAAGACGTTGTTGCAATGACAAGTATTTCTTGCAGTTGTAAATACTATAGTATGCAGTAATAGTTGGGTGTGTCAGAATTTACACTAGCCATACTCAATAGTAAAAGTAGCCACTTTGTCTCCCACCCCATTACCTTACTGGTCCCCTTTGATGGGTCCCACAATATTAAATCAGGGACTCCCCCTCGATTCCTATAATAGTCCCGAGAGAAAACCTCACAAACACGATATAAGACATCGCTCCCAAGACACTTTATAAGATCCTAGCAAAGGTTTCATTAAGAGGGTGTGGTTATTGATGATATTATACCACTATGTCTTCTGATCCGTTAGGAAAAGCCTCCCAATTAATGCCCACTGCATTCTCTCCCAAGTGGTCATTCCAACAAGAAGATGCATCCTTTGTTATATCCTATGAATAAAACAAAATATCATAACAATTAAACACACAACCTGTAGTAGCTTCCCATACAAAGCATGAAATTTTAACTATAAAATTCGCATGTTTATAGTTTTAAAAATAATAACTTTGTGATACATTTTCTGATTAAAGTTCGTTTATTTTTAGCAACAAGAAACACAAAAAACAAAGAGAGGAATAAGACCTAAAAGAATCAAGTTATGGAATGTATAACAATCTCAGCTGACTCTCTTTCCCCCCCCCCCTACCCCAAGCACTTGTCAGTGGTGTAGGAGTTGTACCTAAAACAAGGCACACTTCAATCAATGAGTGTTTGATGATACTCAGAAAGGAGAGTGTAACAAAACACTAAAAGCAGTTGTAGCGGCATGTGACCAAGTCACCCACAGTGCCTTGCATTAGAGACTACATCAGTAACACACTGACTCACTAGGCAATAGGCAATAGGCCATAATGTCTGATGTGTCCTTTATTAGTAGTACTGGACTAGTAATACTAGCACAAGCACACGTGAAGCATATTTTGAGACAACAATCAGGTTGACAGTGCAACTAACCAATACTGAAACTGACATTAAGTGATAAACCATGACATAATGAACACGACTGCATTATATCACTCACAGCTTTACAAAATTGTATTGAAATTGCTTCTAAATGAAATCAAAACTAGGGCACCAATATGCATAATTTTGAATGTGGAGCCATGCTTTAGAATAATTGGTTCTCTTGGTATATATTTTTAGACAAATAATATTTGAACACAAACTTTCTATGTAGCATACTATTAACACACTGTAAGTGTATGCATTAGAAAATGTATAATAATGTGTGGGCGTATATTACCATAAATGGGTAAATTATTTGTGGCTGATGTTCTTGTGGGTAATACAACAGCCACTTAAGTATATTATCAAGAAAAATAATTACTACAACGAGATTTACTATCACTGGATGTTTGTCAAGCAAATTGCACACATGAACAGTGTAGCAGTGAGCATAAGTTCAGCTCAACATAGTGGAGCGTCATGATGATGCAGGAAAACAATTACGAGAAAAGCATTAGCTATACAAACAAGAAATAAAATTCATACACATGCAACATCAAATTAAACTGGATTAAAATATGCTGTATTCATGTACATGCGCATAAACTCAGCTCACATCAATGGCTGAACGTTTGATCCAGTCCAGTTTACTGTCAATTGCAGACTTACGTGACATATAAAAGTCCTCCCTACCAAAATCAAGAGGAGCAGTCTAAAAAATTAACAAAATAAAGCAATGCAAAACAATTAAAAGAACACTCATAATTACACTACTAATTATATATTACGCATACTAATGTAAGAAATATTATAAAGCATACTTGATAGTGTCCTCTAAATACATCGGGTACTTCATTCGTATAAATAATATCCCAAAATAATAAGAGGAAGAGAGACGTGAATATTGCTCCTTCAAGATGAAGGGCTCTAGGCCAGCAGCCAGTACCAGTATAGTGATGTATTGCAAAACCCTCAACAGTACAGACAGAGGAGGAGGAGCAAGGGGTGTGGTCTTGTATTATGAATAAAGGGGTATTAGGTTGACATATACCAGTCAATAAAACCTATAATAATAGAATGTTATAATAATAATAATAATAGGATTTATAGGGAAACAGTTAGCAATCAAGGGTTTTAGTTTACTACATGATGATGAGCTCAGTATAGCAATGAATATAATCATATAAGATCATAGCCCAATGCTAATCATCAGTGCTTATAATCAAGAGTATATTATGATGAAAGACCATGGGCTATAGTACAGGGTCTTCAGCCAAATTTCACCAAAAATTAGAAGGAGAGAAATCTCAATTTTTTTAATTTTTTCTGATGTATATATATGTTCTTATGTTAAGTTTCAAGTTTGAGCTCATTCCGATCAAAATTGGATTTTTTATGAATTTTTAAAGTTACTCCAAAATCGGCCCAAAGTCCCTGTACTATAGTACAGGGTCTTCAGCCAAATTTCGCCAAAAATGAAAAGGAGAGGATTTTCCATTTTTATAATTTTTTCTGATGTATATATATGTTCTTATGTTAAGTTTCAAGTTTGAGCTCATTCCAATGAAAATTGGATTTTTTTACAAATTTTTTAAGTTGCTCCAAAATCGAACCAAAGTCCTTGTACTATGTACAGGGTCTTTGACCAAATTTCACCAAAAATGAAAATGAGGCTCTTCATTTTTATTACATATTCCGATATACATGTTATTACGCAGTGCTTAAAGTTTGAGTTGACTCTGTCAAAATTATATTTTTTAATGAATCTTAAAGTCTCTCCAAACTTGAAAAACCATGGACTGCAGAGGTTCTTGCCGGTATGAGGCATGCTATTTAACTTATTTTCCTAGTTTATGGAAGCTCTGTATTCATTCTAAGCCTATCTGTTAATCATTTCTTGGCAATATATAATTTTAAAAATATTATTACTATAGTCACCAGGAAATTGCTTGACCCACATAATATGAAAACAAGCCTTCACTATGTTAATGACACACACACATTGTAATGGAAGGACAAAAGTTAAAATACCAAGGAATTAAACTAGCCCACGCAATATAAGAGTGGGTGCAGTTGATACACAGACAGGGTTACACAGAAATACTGCCTATAGGCTCTTACCAAGAAAAGCTCAGCAGTGATTCATATTGCATGCATAAAATGTTAGTGTGTGTGGTTGATGTACCTCTTTACATTCACTGATACTGAATGATGGAAGTGAGGGAAGGAGTGAAGCATTACTACCAGTTAGTCTGAGAGCTCTTTGATAAAGTGCATACTTGACACTCTCACTCACTGAAGAGTCTTTAAATGCCATCATAATGCACTGGAATGACTATAAAAGAAAAACATTATGACAGAAGTGATTATAGTTTATGGTACGTTTAAGGTGACAAATATCATTTAAGCTCAGTAAAGCAGTGAAATATAATCATATTGATATAATCATAGCCCAATGCTAATCATCACTGCATAAGAATAACTAATTTAAATAAAGATTCAATTATGAATTACTTTCGACTTTTCTTTAAGATGACTGTCCAAATTGAGAGCTAGTCGTTCCCACCAGTGTCCTCGTTTATAGTATCCAAAAACACCCTGAGACAGTAAGAGAACTAGCAGACGATTTGCTTCAATGTAATCTCTTAGTTTTTCCCAAGACTCAACACAGAGAGTGAGAACATAAATACACAAAGAGCCAGGGTTATATCTTAACCTCCATGCACGAGGGTAACAGACACAAGAGCACTTGATGATAGAGTTTAGTATATGATCTCCTTCATCATCACTACCGGCTGTTAAATCTATAGGATCATCAAAAGTACTTCCACCTTTTCTCGTGTGTGTCTTTCTTCTTTTGGCAGAGGAGTGTCTTTTCTCTTTCCTGTCACTATAACACAACAAATCTTCAAGGCCATTCATTCTTGATTCTTCATTGTATGTAAGCAGTTCATCATGAGACCCTCTTTCCATTAATGCAGTGGATTCTAGTGTGTAAAAAAGAGCAGATAATGAGTAATGGTAATGGTAACTCTTACTTTCTGATGCAATTGACCTCGTGTTTGTGCAAGAGTGAGACTTTAATTCATCTAATAGGATGACACAGGTTTCTTCCATTATATCTCTAAGCATTGGAGGGGTTAGATGTTTCAAAGTGACAAGTGAAGATAATTTCTGTTGCAAGACATGAACAGAGTAAAACCTAACAAGAACATAATGATAGTTTCCCTTTTCAGTCTCTCTCTTTCTTGTCTCACTTCTCAAAATCCTCACAAGACGAAAATAAAGGTTCGACGACATTGATGTCATACTTAGGGTAGACTATCTGACCAGTGCTCACTTGCAACATGTGATAACTAGACAAAAAATGTAAATAATAATAAAAGTCTGGAACATGATGTACATGTACCGTATAGTGGGAAATTTTGGAGGGAATTAAATTTGTCGAATTTGGCGTTTTGATAGCCATTCGCCAAAATTAAATCCGCCATTTTGAGCCATTATACGCATGCTCAATGCACGTGGCCACCAATTCGCCAAATTAAAATCCGCCAATCACCAAAATTTAGCAATTCGCCAAATTTTAGTCCCTCCAAAATTTTCCACTATATGGTAGTATAGTTACAAAAATGGTTTGTTAGTGAATTTACTACTTTTTACAGTGAGAATTCACACAAGAACATTAACCATGCCCACATTTGCTATTTCATTACTAAGCTAGGGCAGTCACTGGTGAGTGTAGAGGTGTTGCTAAGGTAGCTCATAGGCTGTTGCTTAGATGCACTATCATACAGTAACCATTTACGGTCCAATGAATATAATGCACAAAAAATATATCAAGACAAAACAAATCCATCGCAAGAGCTGTATTATATATGCTTAAGGCTACACAAAAATATCTTTGAAAATTACTAAAAATACATATCTTTCATATTAAGGACAATGGATACTAATTGACTGGTGCATTAATGGGGCAAAAAAGATTTACCCACGGTCCCAAAGCAAGAAACAAAGTGCAAACAAAGAAAGCACTAGATTGTGCGATAAACAAACCATGCGAGTTTAGTCCAGGGACCATACCTAAGTGAGGGAAAATTTATCAGAGGTTGTAGACAGGTTGTAGCAAGAAGAGAAAGAGTGGGAAAGAGTGGGTGCTCAGTACAGCAGTATAAATCACAATGCATCATAACCCAGTGCTGAACATCATTGCACTCTCTTTAAGGTATGTACACATTACATTGCATAAAAGTATACAACTTTGAGTAGAGAGAGAGAGAGAGAGAAGTAGGTGATGGTCTTACACAAGACTTTGAGGCAGTGTTTCGTCATCATGAATGTCACCACTTGTAATGAGTGAGAATAGAAGAGATATCTGTGAGAAAACATTAAAACACGCCTCGGACACACAAACACAACTCCCCAATAAAAGCTTAGCCCTAGAAAGAACAATAGCCATATAAGGTATGAGTGAAATTCAAGCCAGCCTTACTTCTTCTTTAAAGCAAGCAATGGCGATAGATGAGGGAGGAGGGGCTTTTGTTTGGCGCAATAATCAAGCACAGAGGATATGAACTGATTCTTTGGGAGGTTGTTAAAAGAGGACGGCAAATGGAGCTGCTCTTTTAAAAGCTTTAACTGGTCCACTTTTAATAGACACAAGATCTCATTAGGATCATTCAGAGAAGAGTCTAAATATAATATTATTATTATTATTATTACTATTAGTATTACCATCATCAAGTAATTTCTTCTTAACAAGTTCTTTGAGGAATGGATTGAGGTCATTTGATATCTCGGGATAAGATAATTTATCAACTCTTAACCACCTGTGCTTGCGTAAATACAGCCTAACCAATAGCTGCTGTGAATGGACTATAACATAAAGATAGAACAATACATTAACATTGTTTTCACAAAAATAATAATTAATTTTTAAATAATTAATTACTTAGGCAAAAGCCACACCCATAAAATGGCTGCCACATCGTTATTATAAAATCATACCATTAGCTTCTTTAAAGCTAGTCAAAACGGCTGATTTGTCTTCATTAGATGTAATATAATGACCATCAACACTAGAGGTCACGTGAGACACAGAGGCCATAAAGTTGGTGAGGTAATAGTGAGGATCTCTTGAAAAAGACTCGCACACTCCATCATCACCTTCTCCTTCAGTATTAGAAGTGGAAAGGGAGCATGAGGAGGAAGAAGAAGAGCTAGAGTGCCTCTCTCTTTTCAAAGAATAACGTTCCCGCGTGAAAAACATGCTGTACTAACTACGCATGCGCAGTGAAAGCTGCTGCCAAATTCTGCGATTTTGTCATTGCGCATGCGTGAGGATAATTCATTTTTAAGAAAATAATTTTGTTTGCTGATGACAGCTACAATAACATGTAAATAATGTATCAGCAAAATCTCTGCAATAGTGCACATGAATTGCAACATCACAGCCAAGACAAAATATCAATTATCACAAGCCAATTGAACTTTTACAACTATAGATACTCTATCCATTATGTTACATCAAAAATTAATCATAAAATGTCTACATCATCATTAAAACCAATGCAATACATAAACTACAAAAATATTCAGCACCAAAAGGTAGAAAAAGTATTAATACTACTGTAATGATATGTAGGGGTTTGTTCTGCAGGGATCAGGAAAGTCCATTTATTAGGCTGCTGTTCAGATGCTTGAGAGTCTGAGTCTTTTCTCTTTCTTCTTTTTCTCAGAGTTCTGAAGTTTAGTTACTACTTTACGAACATGTCCAGATGGAGAGTATCTTTGGGTCTCTAGTTTGTAGCCTTTGTGCTTTGAATGACCAGTATTCTTGTTGTCAGGGAACATTTTGTCAAAACCACTGCCAAAGTTGAAGTAGTCATATTCATCAAAATAAATGTGATCCATGACAGAAAGTAACTCTTTTGAAAGCTATGAGAGAGAGATCAGGAGCAAGGAAAACAGGTGAGAGTCAGCGAGAGGCAAATGAGAGGAAGGTGAGAAACAGCTAGATTGTTTACAACTGTTAATGAAAATAATGAGGTCTTAATGATATTCATGTTTGTCTACTGCGCATGCGCTTAGCCTTGCCTTTCAGTCTCTCACGTGTAGCGTCCATTTTTGCTGGAAGAACATTCTGAGGTAAGACAATAAATCCACTGAAATCCATGTTATTAAATGTCTTTTTAAAGCAAAATATCCCTACACTTTTCATTATAATGTATATTTTTAATATGCAGGTGTTGCAATGGGTGCCTACAAGTATGTGCAGGAGTTATGGAGGAAGAAGCAATCAGATCTCTTGAGATTTTTACTTCGTGTCCGTTGTTGGCAGTACAGGCAATTGAATGTCTTACATAGAGCACCTCGTCCTACACGTCCTGATAAAGCTAGGAGGCTAGGTTATAAGGCAAAACAAGGTTTTGTAATTTATCGTATTCGTGTACGAAGAGGAGGGAGAAAGCGTAAGGCACGCAAAGGAGCTACGTATGGCAAACCGACCAATCAGGGTGTCAATGAATTGAAGTTTCAACGTAGTTTACAATCGGTTGCTGAGGTATGTTTGGGTGGGGCTTTACTTGACCACACCCTTTTAATTTAAGTGTGTTCTTTAATTGCATATATATATATATATATGTACTCTATCTTTTAATTTATCTTATCGTAAGCATGTAAATGAGTAACTGGATTATTGATAGTGTACAAAATGTGCATATTGTTATATGATTTCCTTGTTATAGTTATGTACATGTATTATTCACATTGCTTAGGAGAGAGTTGGCAGACACTGTGGAGGTCTCAGGGTACTGAACTCTTATTGGGTAGGTCAGGACTCTACGTTCAAGTTTTATGAAGTCATACTAGTTGATCCTGCTCATAAAGTTATTCGCCAAGATCCAAGGTAAGATAGATTTAGTATTACTATTAGGACTTATTTTTTCTATTTTTGTTCACTGCTAATATTTTTAATATTTTGTCTACTAGAATAATTTGATTTCTTGATATTTAGAACCAACTGGATCTGTCGCCCTGTGCACAAGCACAGAGAAATGAGAGGACTTACTTCATGCGGAAGGAAGAATAGAGGATTGGGCAAAGGTCATCTTCGTACTAAAGTACAGGGCGGGTCAAGAAGAGCTAACTGGAAGAGGCGTAATACCCTATCTCTACGTCGCTATCGTTAATACAGACTACAGTGTTATTGTCCTAAAATTTTCCAAAAATTAATGATTATAAATAATAATGATGGTCAATAATTAATTTGACTTTTAGGCGGAGTAAATAGCATAAAATTCATAATTAACAATTGGGAGTGCCAGTAGGGGTGTAGCTATTAGCTTAAAGTTGGAAAGTAGAGAAGATGAATGGAGAAGACGATCCTTTTACTCAGGAAGGTGAGTACTAGGGACTGTTGGCTGTTTTAGTATGGTTTTTAATGTTGTGGGTTAACTTATTAGCTGTAAAATAAGATGCAGTTAAGTCTTTGAAGTAGATTAATATTCCAGTATTTTAATGCTGCAATGATATTGTAGATTTAAGAAAAATACTCCACGAGGAGTCCTGTAACAGTGAGAGTGAGGGCTGGCAGTTTGTAAAAAGTACAGAGGAAGCAGAAATATGGAGAAAGTGGGATGAAAACTCACCTGTACAGCTCATAAAAGTGAACATGTAACTGTTCGTTGATTTATAATTGTTTGAATCACACAGGGATTTTTGAGGTTTCCAGGAATTCCACCTGATGATGGTAAGTTTGACTAACTTGTCGACTTGCTCTAAGCTTCCATATTTTCTCTCTCCAGTTATTGAGCTGATTGCTAATCTTAAAGTTAGAATGAGGTGGGAGAAACGATTTCCTGTAATCGAAGAGGTGGATGTTCTGCCCCATTACAAAATTGTGTATTGGTGAGTGGTCTTGAGCTAATAATGCAATTATTGTTCTTGCTACTGATTCCCAATTACCAATGTGATTATTGTCATTAACTACTCAGAATTTTAGTTATTTAATTAGTCTGACCAAGACTACTCTTTGTCTGATCAACTTAGTGTCTCATATAGTTAATGCTGTCACACATAGTACTACCTATACAGCTTTAACTTTAATTCTACCATAGGCATGTAAAAATGCCGTTTGGAGTTGCTGACAGGGACCTCTTGCAGTATATAAGTCACAGAAAGGATCAAGAGAGGAATTTACATTACGTTTTGTATAAGAATGCTGTTGATAAACGGAGACCTGAAGTCCCTGGAGTTGTTAGGTAAGTTATACTATAACATGATGTAACACTTGTTTGTCAAGCAGTTTGACTATATGTGTTCAGCCAGTAACATTGATATAATAGTTTGCCAAATTTATGATAAACATAATGTGTCACTAGAATTGGCATTACGAATAAGCTGTATGAACCACAAGCTGCATATGTATTATTTTATTTTTTATTTTTTATGCATTAGAGCAAAGACTATTCTTTCTGGCGTACTTATTCGTCCAGAAGAGAATGATCCAAATTCAACACGACTGACTATTTTACTTCAGAATGATCCAATGGGTTGGATACCAAAGAGCATCGTCAATTTTATGTCAGCCAGAGCACCTCTGGAATGGCAAGAGTCTTTGGCGCAGTTTTATCGTGATGTTTATGTCAAGGAAAAAGAATTGTCTAATTAAAATCTTTTAAATGTGTTGACTCTTAGATTTATATACTGTGATAAATTCTTGCTGTTATTATTATATTTTTTGCAATATTAATTAAAATACCGCAGTGGTAGGTGTGGGCGTAAATCTACTTGAATTTTTTAGTTCACAACAGCTTTTAGAAAAGCATCTACGATGGCAGAACAAGCAGAAAACCCTTTTTCACCTGCAGGTAATATGCTAAGAATACCCTTGACTGCTTAGTCCGGCCTATTATGATGATGTTTATGAGTCAGGGCTGCTGTAGTGCAGCCGAGCCCTGCTGCTCGATCATGTTTATGAGTCAGGGCTGCTGTAGCTGTAGTGCAGCCGAGCTCTGCTGCTTGATCATTGTTAATTGAATACACCTCTTCTATCATAGATCTGGAAAAACTTTTGAAGGAAGAATCATCCAACAGTGAAGCTGAAGGATGGCATTTTGTAAAACGAACAGAATTCTTGGAAATATGGAAAAAAGATGATCCAGGAACACCAATCAAACTTATGAAAGTATATTAATATTTTCTTCCAGTTAATTTTTAAATCAATCATTTTATTTTAACAGTCATTTGTCCAGTTTCCAGGCATATCACCTGATGATTGTAAGTTAAAATTAAAAATTATGCTACTAGTTATGCTTCTAATTTAGTGATTGAAATGGTATTCAATTTTGAAATTCGCCGAAGATGGGACAAGAACTTTTCCACAATCGAAATTGTTGAAGAAAAAGCAGACTACAAACTAGTATACTGGTAAATTTAAAGGAATACTTTTAGCACCTTTACATGGTTTCTATATTACTACTTGCAGGGTGTATAAAATGCCTATAGGAGTGTCTGATAGAGATATAGTTCAATACATGAAGAAAGGAAAAGATGAAGATAAAAACCTCCAGTATGTAATATACAAGGATGCTATTGATGACAGAAAACCAGAAGTACCTAAAGTTGTGAGGTATATATAAATTATTACATTGATGTGTTTGACGATACAATACATAGGGCAAAGACCATTCTCTCTGGTCTCATCGTACGCCCAATGGAAGATGACCCTAAATCTACTAAAGTGTCGTTCTTCGCACAAGTTGATCCAATGGGACTTTTACCAAAGTCATTAACGAATCTGTTTGCAGGTAGTGCACCAACAGACTTCCACGAGGCTGTGACAAAGTTTTATCGTGAAGAGTATTCAAAAGAGAAGGCCTAAAGAAAAGTATAGCTGCATCAGTGGGAATGTTTTGACTCAGTTTTAGATAGCTTTAGTTACAAACCATAACATTAATTCATAATGATGTAGATCTAAAATTCATTTCATTTCTATTTGCTATTTTGCTGCTATGAATATTAAAAGTTATGATAGTTATCATTCAAGCCGCGCCCCTTACTTACCTAAGCGGAAAATGTGGGCAAGGACTTCATAATTCGAAGAACTTTTGATCAGAACATTTAGATTCCATTTTTTCCATGTTCTTACCAAGATATCCCACCATAGCTTAGGTCATAGATATTCAAGTATAAAGGTAGAAGATTTATTTGACTAAATATTTATGGTGAGTTCAAATTCCTATCTGTCATGCTTGTAAATCTCCTATCAGTTCTAAAGTCCTGTTATTTTAATTATAGCTCCAGTAGCTATAAACAGGCGTATTGCAAAAGGAATAGTCTACAAAGAAAAATGGCCCAATCTTCTGAGCATAGTCCATTTACTGATGGTGGTAAGTATGATCTGCACACATGAAAGCACCCATGCACACCTCAGTGAGCTAAGAGTGATGAATGCAAGAGACATGATGTACTTATTGAGTAGCTTTTAATATTCACTGTGTGCTTTAGACCTCTATCAATGTGTGTTTTTAGACCTCCAAAGATTAAAGCTGGAAGCTGCCTCCAATGAAGAAAGTGGATTTGAATTCTTTAAGAAAACAGATCATGTAGAACTGTGGAGAAGACCTACCGAAGAAAGTCCAATTGGTTTAGTAAAGGTATTTATATATGATGTAAGTTGTGGTTAGTAATTATGTCATGTGTAGGGGTTTCTTCATTTTCCAGGCATTCCAGTGGAAACTGGTCAGTTTGTGCTAATTTGTTTGTCTTGCAGTGTTATTTTACTTAAAGTTTAAATAATGTAGTTTTCAAATTGATTGTTGACATTGAACTGAGACGCGAATGGGAGAAACAGATACCAGTTCTTGAAGTGCTAGATGATAATTCAAGCTATAGAACAATTTACTGGTAAATTGTATTGCTATTGATAATCATGTACTATGAATGCATATCTCTACTTAGGTTAGTGAAAACACCTGTAGGAGTAAGTGATAGGGATTTTGTTCAGCACATGACACATGGCTCTGATGAGGAGGGTACAAAGTATATTTTATATAAGAATGCTGTTCACCCCAGCAGACCAGAAAGAAAAGGCATAGTCAGGTATAATTACCATGAAAATTAAATTGTCATAGTTTTATATTGCTTAAAGCAATAACAAAAGTCCCAATTCATTCCAAGACTGTTTAGTTATTACATATAAGAAGCTGTTTTGTAAACAATGCAAAAGGCTTCTGTTGTTGTTTCAGTACAAGAATAATACACTGTACTATTGGCCCCTCTATAGGAAATATTATACTTTGCTGTACAATAATTAATGTTATTATTCAATATTGTGTCACTTCACAGGGCAAAAACAATATTCTCGGGGACACTGATCTATCCTGACAAGACAGATCCAAACTCAACATGTATGACAATGTTGATTCAAGATGATCTCAAGGGATACGTACCAAAAGCTGTTGTCAATTACTTTTATTCTAAAGCACCAATAGTATGGCATGAGAACATTACTAGCTACTATGAGAAAGTATACAGCAAAAAGGATAGAACTTGAAAAGTTAATTTATTTAATAATATTAATATTTTTGTATTCATTCATAAAACAATACAATATTAACGATAAATAATAATAATGATGATAATAATGAGAATAATATAATATTAATAGTCTATATGGCAGATTTGATTGTAAATTTGGTGCAAGTATAGTCGAATAATAAACAGAAAACAATAGATCCATTAAAAATTATAATACACATACACAAGTACATACGCTGTACGTACACATTACAATTATTAATAGACTACACAGAAATTCAAATATCATTAAAAGCTACCAGCTGCCCTTGAAGCAGGGAGATGCTGCTTGCTGTCACAAGCTGTCACTAAGCAGTAGTTCAGGATTAGAATTCATGACTTTAACTAGGAGAGCCTCAAGATAACTCTTTGTGTCCTGTAGCTCTAGTGTCCGCCTCTTTAGTTTTGATTTCGTTCTAACCAACTCAGATATCAAAGCCTGAAAAGACAATTTACACTCATTTTTATTGCTCCTTTCTCTTTTCTCATCCTCCCTCTCTTCCTCAATATCCCTCACCTCTTTGCTCCATTCACAATAATCCTCTTCAGTTGTGGTCTCCTCTTCGTCCCATTCACTTGAACTAGTAGTACAACTACTCTCGTGCTCACTGTACGAAGACATTGAAGGTGTATCAGTACTGCCACTACTAGCAACCCCTTCACCTCTGACAGACTCAACTGAATCAACATGACCAGCATCCTCTTGTGAATGAGGAGGAGGAGGAAGAGTGAAGTGACTAGAAGAGGTGATAGGGTCAGTGTGAGTCTTTGTATGAGAGGAGGAGGAGTGGTGTGTCTCATGTGATGAGAGAAGACCATTAGGAGTAGCTACAGTAAGCTTCTCTGTAGCTTCATTTTGTTTGGTGGCGGGAGAGTTTGAGTTTGATTTGCTTGCAGTGAAGCTAGCTCCCAGTGATGTCTTACTTCCCATGACACCAACAGCACTGACGGTTGATGGAGCTGTGCTAGTGCTTGGGACATGCTTTGGTAATGAAGTGAGTGTAGGAGGAGGAGGAGGAAGAGTGTTTGTTGGCTTCTGATTCGGTTTATTAATCTCTGGTCTCTTTGACTTGTCACCTGTAAGAATAACAACAGAATAAATGAATAGTGTAATGATAATGATGATATTTGAGGTAATTACAACTCAAAATCTGTACTCATAGCATAAAAGCAGTAACTAAATAGACTCTTACTTGAGCTGTTCCTACGAATAATTCCAGGAGGTTTACTTGATGATGTACTCTCAGTCCTCTTTCCTTTACTAGCAGGAGAAGAAGAAGGCATCTGTTTCCTATTCTCCTGATACAGTGAGAGTGCTCTCTTCAAGCCTCCACCAGTCTTCCTCCGGGACACCGATGCACTCGTTTTAGGAGCTGATTTGACAGTATTAGGAGTGGGTACATTAGAAGGAGGAGTAGTTGGAGTAAGAGATGTAGTATTAGCCTTGATCTCTCCTTCCTCCTCCTCCTCCTCTTCTAGAATAACTGGACTAGCTCGACCGGAATTAGTAGCAGAACGAGAGCCGTGGACAGAACTACGTTCAATACTATTGCCAGTGGACACAATCTCCTTGCATTGATTCAGTAATGTTGTGATGTCTGTGGTGCTGGAGTATTTCTTCTGAGAATAATGAGCAGGAGAACTGGCTGAACTATTGCTGGCACTGATAGCTGCCACTGATGGAGGGAGAGGGCGGAATGGCTGAAAGCCTATCAAAAAACCAAAATGAACATGTGCATGTAATATTTTTACTGATTTATCATAAACATACAATTATCATTTTTGCAATAAATTAATTGTCTCATTAGAAATGAATTATAACATCATTCATTACATGCATGTACACACCATAATACTCACTATTTCCTCCATCAAATGGTTTCTTGTACTCCACTGTGTGTTTTTTCTTTGTTTCTGCTCTTGGTTCTTTACCATCGTCAGTCTCATCTTCACCACCTTCAGGTGATGGAGTTGTTTCTCTGGTCACATCAGTGCTTGTGAGAGGAGGAGACATACGAGACGGTGTAGTTGACCCACTGCTTGTAGGAGTGTCTACTGAAATAGCCACATCAGCTTTGGGTATTAGTTGAGGGGAATTATCAGATGCACTGCCACGGGTCTCTTGATCATCATCACTAATCAACGGTCGGCCATTTTGTAGCAAAGGTTTTGAAGAAGTTTCGTCGTGTAAGATAAGGACTTCTTTCTTTACCTCTTTGGGCGTGTCGGTAGATGTGAGAGTGTCCTTATTTCCAGTAGGAGAGACAGGGTTAGGAGTCTTTGCTATAGGAAGAGTAGATGATACATTCCTAGTTTTAGATACGGGAGAATCTGCTCCTGATTCAGCATTCCCACGACTGTTACGCTTTTGAAGTAACTGTTTCAATTGTCCAGCATTCAACACGTTCTCCAGTCCATCATTCCTACCTTGACTCAAACTGCCTAGCTTCAATATCTGTGCTATGTCGGCCGAGTGTCTCTTGATATTGTTGGTACCTGATGCTGTGAGGTACTGCTGTTGGGGATTACGAGGCTTGGCTCTCTCAATGTCTTTTGTCGGGCTTCTTTGGAGTGTCGAGAATGAGTGGTTGCTAGTGTGTACATTGCTATGGCGATGAGGGAGGGTAGAGTATGAAGAGGGTGTGTCTAAGGTTGCTCCTTTCTTTAGTTTACCTCTTCTTTGAGGTGAGCGAGGTTCTAGCGTTGGTGTTGTCATTGTTCCTCCATCAAAACTGTCTCTTGAGATCTTTTTAACTGCTTCTTTTTCTCTCGGGGGCGTAGTGTTTGTGGGTGTGGCTTCCCCATCAAAAGACATCATTGTATTACAAGTTGAGGGTGTGTTGTTGATAGAACTCCCAGCACTGTAATACTCGGAAGTGTTTGATTCCAGTGAGGTATTTGAAGTGTGTGGTGTCTCTGTTACTTTCTCTTGTGAAGTTTTTGGTGATCCCAACACGTTTCCTGATGAGTTGGTTCTCTCTCGTCTCCTTGGGGTTGATCTTGCTCTGTATGTGATTGTGTTTGAACGGGTGGGAGTGTTAGTCGGAGTCGATGCAGGGTGTCTCGACATATCCTCTTCGTATGAACTATCAAATGAAGACTCCTTTTTAACAGTTGGAATAGAAGACGAGCCAAGCTTTGATGCCTAATAGTAGAAGAAAGAGAGAGAGAGAGAGTGATGATAAATATTACAATAGAGTCGAAAGTAGAAGAATGGTCAGAATAAGCTAATAGAGGTCTCAAATATTTGGTGCTTATTTCTGAAATTTAATTATCCGTGTTTTATAGTGCTGGATTTCACCTCAAAGTGGGTGAAATTTTGGCAAAACACTCCGTACTATATAGTACAAGAGCTTTGGCAAAATTTCATTAAAAATTTGTAAAAGAAATTGTCTATTTTTATACTTTTTTCTGATGCATACACATGTACTCATGTTGCATAACAAGTTTGAGCTGATTCCAATCAAATTTGAATTTTTTACAAATTTTTAAAGTTGCTCCAAAATTGAGCCAACGTCCCTGTACTATAGTACAGGGATTTTGCCCAAATTTTGCCAAAAATACAAAGTACAAAATTTATAACTTTTATAATTTTCTCTGACACATTTACATGTTCTTATGCTATGTTTTGAGTTTGAACTCATTCCAATCAAATTTGGATTTTTTACGAATTTTTTAAGTTGCTTCAAAATCGGGCCAAAGTCCCTGTACTATAGTACAGGGTTATTGGCCAAATTTCGCAAAAAATGGCTATGAGAAATTTCTTAATTTTAATAATTTTTTAAATGCATATAGATCTATTTATATTGCATAGCAAGTTTGAGCTGATTCAAATCAAATTTTGATTTTTTTATGAATTTTTAAAGTTGCTCAAAAATTGGGCCAAAGTCCATATACTAAAATGACACTAAAAGCCTACATGTAGCATACTCAGTTAGCATGCTTTGTGGGAAACCCTCCATTACACACATGTAATGATGCATGGAGTACTGTTTTATATACCACCTCCCACTTAACACCTGCCAAAACCAAGCACATTCCTTTGAACACTTCACCAGATAGTTTATATATCCAATCAACTAAATACAGTACTTACTATAGTACATTGAGCATAGCAAGTTGTCATAACTATTAACAGCACATAAAATATTTAAATGTGTTTTACTTAATCGTTATGGAATTTACAATGCATACCAGGCCCTGCCTAGTCTATAATATTATTACTGGTTACCTCATTGTCTCTGATTTTCTGTTTCACAGCTTCACGTCTGATGACAGGATCCGCTCTCCATAAATCGACGATACCAGTCTTCTCTAGTTGTTGAGTGGCTTCAGTGAACAATAAATGAGTAGGAGAGGAGGAGCGAGCCTCATTAGGGATGTCCCCCTCTGTCCTCTCGGGAGAGGAAGGGGATAAGAGTATCTGTTTTCTTCTTTCCGATTGAGGAGGAGTTGGAGGGTCACCGGAGCTACGGATCGAAAGTGCAACAAAATCATCGTTGTCTTCGAATATTTGATTTTTCTTGTTTTTTGCTCGCCCAAAGATACTTCCTTTTGATTTAATCTGTCTCTCTGATTTAGCATTGCCTCCTGCCCCACCTCCAGTCCCACTCTTATATTCTGATTTCGTGCGACGTAGCATCCTTCTATCCCTTTCTTCAAAGGAAGGGCTAATCGGCGAGGTTTCAATACTGTCCCACTTGTAAAGGAAGGAGAGAGAGATGAGGATGTCACCGCGTGGCTTGGAGCTTGTTTTACCCGGCCTGGGTCCTAGTTTGTGCCAGTTCTGTCGGACACGCCTTGAGATACTCAAATGATTGAAAGGCACGCGAGTATAGCCAATGAACTCTTCGGCAAACTTTGTTTTCTGCTTGATAGTTATGTCAACTGAAGAATCTAAACTCATAAGAGGACTAAAGAAAGAAGAAAATGATTACGTGCATTGTTTATAGGATTAAAATTCTTCTGAGAATGTGTTTCATAACAATTACTATGAACAATACACAGTAACCAAAAGTGTACCATTAGAAATTATTTATTATTTTTATTCTTTATTGTGGTAGCAAGTGTGCAGCGTGCAAGCATCATTTGTCATGGGAATATGCTACCAATGCTTCATAATAGTCTTATAGGAATAACATAAAAGCATACATTACTATCACAATAATCAGTGGCAACAAAATATTTCAAGCATCAGTAATGCTATGGCAGGTGTACCGTTCCTGTTGACAAAGAGACAGTGAGTGAGATATGTATGGTTACAGTTGTTTATGCAAAATGGTAAGGACATTAAAGATGATAAAATACCACAAGAAATTTAATAAGCTGTAGGACATCATACTCCCCCTCTTCTCTGAATCAACCCCCCTCTTTCTCTCTCCCTCTCTCTCTCTCCCTCTCTCTCTCTCTCTCTCTCTCTCTCTCTCTCTCTCTTACATATCAAAGCTCTGGTTCCATTGAGGGCAGCTGTGTCTTGGTAGCAACTGTGTTACCTGCTTCTCTTTCTCCACTTGTACCAAAGCAAATATGTCACTATTAACTAAAAACAGATATAAATAAAAGAAGTAGACATTGCATGGTCATTTGCAGTGTCATGAATACACAAACAAATTCAAAATAATAACAAGCTAAAGTAGCTAGTCTATACATGCAGATGACAGGATTTCCCTTTGTGATTTAATATCTTAGAAACTAGTATGGTTTTAAGTTAACTCAATAGCATTAACAGAATGTTACTAGCATGCACAAAGAGTCAGAGAAAGGAGTGAAAGGGTCATTTAGTTTCATAACACATTCTGTTTCATTAAGAGAGTGCTGTACAGGAAATAACGCACATCATAGTGATTTATTAGTGCACATTGGCACAAACATGAAGAGGATATACATCAAATAGAAAGTACATAATGTACACGCATGATATTTATACCATGCATAATTAAGGATGCTAATAAATATGCTCATATAAGGTAGTACAATACTTTTGATGTTAATGGAATACTTTGGACTGTATCTATAAACAATTGTTAACAATGTCACTGGGATTGCTTTAAAGAAACTTTCAACAAATCTAAAATGGTAAGAGGGCAGTGTTACTAAATAAGATTTATCCCAGTTCAAAATGTCTACGATGACTTTTTCAGCCTTGATAGCAGTGAATGCATTAAGGTTTATCCTCACAACTATGCTAGTATTTATGATTTATCACAGTCAGCAATCAGTGACATCATTATCAAATAACAGACAACATCCAAAGCTCTAATAATTAATATTTACTATACACTTTCCCTAAAATGAGTGATGAATGTATGACCAATACAGCCCCATAGGGTTGGTTCAGGGTTAGTTTTAAAATAGGCCACAATCTGTTAGTGTGGATTAGTCAGCTGTTGTACTTACAGTAAACAACTAACCAATGCTGGAGGAGTATGGAGAAAAGGGGGAGTGCATTTCAATTCACTAATCACTCACATCATATTTAAGAATGTACGTCTCTCTCTCTCTCTCCTTCTCCTCTCTCTCCCTCCCTTTCTCTTCCTTGCCAAAATTGTCCTATAGAAGTTTATTTAGTTCATACATATATGGTCAATAGAACATGAATATTATTCAGATATAATTTCCTCACAAAGGATGACTGGCAAGATACAAACAGGCAGGGCAATAGAACAAAAACAACAACACATTTCAAAATCACTGAACTGATGTACATACAGCACACAGTACAAATTGGAATGCATGCAAGCTTTCATAAAAATATGCTGTATAACCATCATTATACTGTCTGACATTGCTGACCATAACAAATATTCACTAAACAATGCTCTTTTCAATTACAATGACAGAGTAATGTGTAGAATGGTGTAGAATGACAAGAAGAGATAGAATAATAGGGACTTGTAATCACTGGTGTTTATATGTGCTACTAGGCAAGGGCTGTTAAGAGTAATAGGCGAGTCCTAAAAATCATTTAGACTATGATTGATGTTGTGGTCTTATTTCATAGTAGTTTAGACCTTATTCTGACATAATATTGATCAAAGGACTCCTACTTTGGAGTAGGCATATCGTAGTTATGACTCATTAGGACAAAATAAAACTATACAGTATTAATCTGTCTGGCTCGCTAGGACTTTACCGACTAGTTGAGAGGATACTCACCACTTTTGCTCTTGAGTGCTAAGTCTCTTGCCCGAACGACTAGAGAGAGAGAGAGAGAGAGAGAGAGAGAGCAGAAACAAGAGGTGGACTGTAATCAGCAAATTTACTATGGGGCAGAGTAGTACCGGCCCACTACTTAAGAATCCGCACAAAATCAATTATGATGCGAGGGTGTGTGGGCTCACCTATGCATCACAACTTGATAACAGGCTAACAGCTTAAAGAATTTAAACTTCTAACAACTAAGTTACTTAAGAGCAGGTGAAGGCGCAACACTCTGATATTAGCAGAGAGGTGATAATGTGTAAATGGTAAAGGACCAGTACAGTGCAATCAAAATATTTTAGGTCGTCACCCTAGAAGCCGGGCTCAAAAATTCATCCAATGGCCATTGGTCTGTAGAACTATATAAATCTGTGCATGAAATGAACTAACTTGTAACTTGAATGTGAGATGGAACCAAGGAATTCATGGCCATGATCTTTTACAGTGCACGGGTAGATATGAAGCCTTGGCGTGTAACGATAATCCGCAGAGGCAGCCCTGCGAGTGTCTACAGGCTACGGACAATCTTGTCCCTGCTTGTCGATATTAGAAGGCTACAAGGAATACTCGGTGAGCAACAGAGCAATCAATGGACCATTAATAAACTGCAATGTCTTGTAATTGTGATTTTGTTTTGTCAAAGGCCACACTCACACGCTTTCAAAGACCTGCGGCGAAGAATTAGCTCCACCCAGAGCAGCTAGGATAATTGTGGGTGGGGCTGGTATTTATATTTTGCTGAGTAAGCTAACAGAGTGGAAAAGACGCTCGAGTGGCGTGATCATGATCCGACAGAGAGTCATGTTATAAAAATAAAAATATTCTCTAGACTATTCCTTAGTAACACCAGGAAAAGGTTTTGCTTCACAGACAGGAGTAGGCTAGAGCTCTTCTGCTATTCAAATTCTCCAGCAATGGCTGTCAGGGTTCTACTCCATTTCATAGTCGGGCTCATCTTTTGGCCTTTCGCTGTACCCATGGGCTTCATACTTGGTTTCCTTTACACTTTCTATCCCTCAACACTGGTCAATGGATTCTTAAAGTAAGATGAAACTACATGTCCTTTTATTATTGTTCTATGACTCTTTTCATCAGGTATGGTTGCTATTTGACAGTTCCAGGTTTCACAAGTCAATCAGTGGAGATTGATGGCATTCAAATATCATATCTCGATCGCCCAGGCTCACCGAACATTCCCGATACACCTACAGTCGTATTTATTCATGGTTTCACGTCTCAGAAATTAGGCTGGGTCCCACTCATCCGTTTCTTGCCTGCATCATGGAGAATAATAGCGATAGATCTTCCTGGACATGGTGAGTCTGGCGTTGCTGATGACTGGGATTGTTCCGTTAAAAACATTGGATCACTCTTACATAAGGTTGGACATAAGAGGGAGAGGAAGGGAGATTGATGTGTTATTACATGTGATCCCCTCTTGTATAAACTCAATTGACCTCAGCTTGTGATAATAATGTGCTTTAATCATTGCCAGTCATATGATTGAGGTCATACTGAATATACTATAATTATTCATGATTCACATGAACATGATTGTCACATTAGATCATAATGACTGAAGTTAGATTTGTCATCTCTTTAGGTATTCACAAGCATTGGTTTGACACAGTTTCACATTATTGGTGAGTCACTTGGTTCAGCTTACTCTGGGCAGTATGCTGCTGATCACCCTGAAATGATTAACTCAATCATTCTAATGTGCCCTCCTAGTAAGATTCCTTTATCTTCCTCTTCACCTTGTTCCTATTATCTTTGCTCAATGAAAAATAATATTCACAGCATACTTCTCTCTCTCTTTCTCTTTAGTTTTCCATCGCTTAAAAGGAGCACCATGTACCCCAGCAATGGAAGCAATTGATGGTCCAAATAGTGAGAAGAATCCTTTGTTGCCTACAAACCCTGAGGAGTTCCGGTCAATGCTAGAACTAGTACTTTACAAGTCAAATGGTAACTTACTTCACGATCACATGCTAGAGGCAGTAGTTGGAGTCCACAGTAAACACTATGATAATTTTAGAAGAGGTACAGTATACTTAAGGACTAAATAGTCATTTTGCATTTGCTATTTTACATGAATTGTTGCTTATCTTAGCAGTAATAAACAACCAGTTAGTCAATGCTATTTTGTTTGTTTGTAGTTTTGCACGATGTAAAGAATGGCGGAGACACAGAGGAAGAGATAAAGGCCAGGATAGAGAAAAGCAATAACATTCCATCAATGGTCCTGTGGGGAAGAGAGGACCAGGTACTGTTTATGAATAAAACTAACCCAAAATTATTAAGAGTTATAATGCACATGTACATAAGTTTATTTTCAAATAATCAATTCTCATGAGTACCACACTGAATATTATGTCAAGTAATCTCTCTTGTCTTATAGATATGTGCTGTAGCTGGTGCTAAGCTCATTAAAAGACTCTCACCGAAATGTAAAGTCATTGTCATTAATAACTGTGGTCACTGCATGTCGGTAGAGAGACCTAAGAAATGCGCTCAATTTATCGAACAATTCATCAGTCGCCAGCAAGCGACGTCCTGATAATTGATTTTTCTTGTTATTATATTCAGTCATAATTAATTTGTATTGATTTTCAACTCGATTAATAATAATAATTTATTTGATTTATTCCTAAAACAGTTTTGTTGTCGTATGGAAGGAATCTAGCCTCTTGTTTACATGGTATGAGTAAACAATTTACATGTAACTATAAAATACAGAATTATGATTTTGATTGTACAGATTTAGAGCAGAGTTTCTCTAAGGTTGCTGATACTCTAGCAGGATTTCTCTTCATTTTTAAATTTGTTCTAAAAAAATTTTTAATGACAAAATGCCTTTTAGGGATAAATAACAAAGTTCTAAGCACTGAATTTACATGTAGCTACTACTTTTGCTCAAACTAATCACTACATAAAATCAGTGATTAGCATAAAAATTCAGCAAGGTAGGTTCAAAATATAATCGTTGCGTGACGAGTGGCAGTAAGACCGTTATCGACTATGGTTACTGTAACTCTGTCCACAACCAAAGCTTCTGCACCTGGAACGTATAAGACACAAGTTGGACCTCCTGTGCAGTATACTGTATTAGTATAACCATCTGTTCCAATAATAGTCATAGTGACTGTCGCTCCTGCAGTATAGCATTGATAATTTACTCTAGCAACGTAATTCTGATATGGTGCTGGATCATAGGGAAATATACTTAAGCTTTCAATGTTGAGGGACATTCCATCACTGATCATAAAAGCTGTTGATACGCTGCTAGTGCCTGGAGTCAATGATAGTGTCCTTCCAGTGGCAGAATATTTTGCGCCACCAGGAAATATTGCAACTGGTTCCAGAAAGATTTCCGAATCCCTGAAAAAGTCAATGACATCGTCAGTGTATTCTGTGATAGCATCACAAATTAAATCACTTACACGTTCCCCTGCAACAGTAGTTGACACTTTATCACATATAGAATCCACTCCTTTTAATATTTTTCTGCAAAATTTATGAATAGGAATAAGCCTTGCATGGGGAATCACCTTGAGAGCTGTTGCGAGAGTGTAGCAGAACACTTTCTCTGCACTATGCTTGATGCCAATGAATGACAAGGCAGTATTAAGATACGATTTGATATCACTATACCAGCTGCAGGTACTACTGAGAGCTGACTCAATAGCACTACACACCATGCCTATTTCATTACCTATTGTAGAAGCGGGTGCAGTTGGTATGTCAATATAATAAAGTCCTGGGGAGCTTGATAATTGACCTGTATATACATTAGCCTCACCATCATGAAGAGTATTTGCATAGACAATAGCATCATCCTCAGGCTGATCACATGATTCAACATTAACGGATACACGAGCAGTATTCATTGCTTGAGCATTTCTTTTTGATCGAAAGCTCTTCCTTTTCATATTTTCAACATATGCATTGTCATTTGGTACACTTCCTTTGCTTCTTTTTCGTATACCATCAGTATCCAGGTTATCATCAATGCTCCGCTTTTGAGTTGATTCATCAGAATCATCAAAGCCAAGGTCTAAACTTGAGTTTGTAATATTGGCAGTTAAATCTAGGTTAACGATAAACTCCTGGGCAGTTTCTGGTATGTAAATGCTAACAGTCACTCTAGTGTAATTAGCATCAACATCCCAATTAAAATCCATCTTCATGCCGCTTGAGTCTATGGCAGACGATATCACTGAAGTACTATTATCAAGCTTTACGAAGGTAGTGTTGCCATCAGAATCAACTGTTTCAAACCTTTCTATTTTTGTGGGAATACCATTTGAATCTTTGTCACCCACAACAAAAATCTGGTCACCATCTGGCGTATTAGCAGAGAATATGACTGGACTACTTGGATTTACAAAGAGATTAAAAGTTGTTTCAGTTTGCATATCTAAAAAAGAAAGCACAGCACACAATGAATGGTGTATTGTGTTGCAAATAATATTCAAAGCTTACCACAACTAGAGCTTCCATTCCGATAGCCATAACCACAAGCACAGGATCCATTTCCACAAATTCCATTTGCACTACAGCAGTTTGGACAACCTATAATGAATTAGTACCGGTAACTTCAACACAATTAATGACACCATTACCATTAGAGTCACCCCCAGTTGAACAATACAGTGTAGTTGCTGAACTAATGAGGTCACGATCATTAATTTGTATTGAACCACTTTTGGAAACCAAAGAAACTTCCTTGAAGGAAAAGTTTCTACAGAGATAGAGATACACTCAAGCATTGGATTGGCATTAATAAAATACTTACCTTGGTACATATATGTCAACATGTGCACCACTACCTGTTGAACTGTCTTGTGCAAAAGTGCACAGCACCACAGTAGTAAGAATAAGGCAAGAAATGACAAATAATCTTGATGGAACTTTGACCAATAGACTTGCCATAAGGACACAAAGAACCAAAAGAAAAGGGTTCATTCTTCCTTGCATAGCTGGTGATGCTGTTGATGGAGGCTCCTGACGCCGTTGTAATGAAAGAGTGATGTGAGACATGTTTTCTCGATACACAGACTCTATCATGTCAAGATCATTTGAATTTTCCGAAAACTTAGTGACTTCAATTCGAATTCCACCATCACTCACATGCCAATTAATATTTCCCTATGATTCAACAATAACAAGTACTTCTAACAGTGATACATGCAATACCTTAACATTTGAGTTTATAGAGAATATCGTAACACCTGTAGCTGCAAGACTTGGGGTAAAGGTTTCAGTTTTGTTAGCAGCTTCAACCAAGCTCAAGGCAGCAAGAGTAAGAACAAAAAGAAGTAAAGACATCTTTGCCTGCTAGGACCACAGCAGCCTATAATCACCTGATGCAATAGACAATTTGATTGGTCCAATTTACAAAACTTAAAAGTAAACATGGCTTTCTTATAATCATAGCAATAATCATGACATGATGTTATTCTAATGATGAATTTAATTTTAAAAACATTACTACAGAGAATTATGATTTTGATTGTACAGATTTAGAACAGAGTTTCTCTAAAGTCGCCGATACTCTAGCAGGATTTCTCTTCTCTTCTTTTTTAAACTTGTTCTAAAAAATTTTTTTTAAAGACAAAAAATCATTGCCTGTTAAAAAGGTCACCCTACATACTCTACTCATGTATACATGTACTTATAGTTAGTCATTACCTTCAACTCTTTTCTATTTCTATGCGGTAATAGTAGTGTCATCATTGTGAAATCTGTACCAACTTGAGACAGTGCCTTGTAAAAATTATTTGTTTCTATTAAAATAAGGTTAATAATGTAGCATAATTTTACTTGCTAGTATTTGTAAAAGACCTACTGATATCAATAAGTTCATACCTTCATTTGTCCATTTCTTTATCTTGTGTCTTTGTCTGAAAGAGGTCGAGGTCGTATGCCTTTCCTCTTCAGTCACTGTGTCACTATCAAAATGATTGATAATAATATAATGAATCCAGAAAGAGGACTCACCTTAGACCCTCAAAAGGCTTCTGAGAGGTTTCAACGACCATACTTCATATAGAAAGAAATAGAAATTAATGAGAATACTGCGTAATCTTATTTTGAGCTGATTCTGATCAAAAATTATTTTGATCAATTTTTTTACAAGTTTTAAAAGTTCCTCAAAAATCTAGCCAAAGTCCCTGTACTGTAGTACATGGTCTCGGGCCAAATTTTGCCGAAATTGAAAAGGAGAGAATTTTCATTCTTATAATTTTATCTGATGCATATACATGTACTTATGCTGCGTAGAAAGTTTGAGTTGATTCCGATCAAAATTGAATTTTTAATGAATTTATAAAAGTTGCTTCAAAATTGAGCCAAAGTCCCTGTACTATAGTACAGGGACTTTGGCCAAATTTTGGCAAAAATGAAAAGGAGAGAATTTTTTATTTAAAAATTTTTTTTCTATGCATATACATGTACTTATGCTGCATAGCAAGTTTGAGTTGATTCCAATATAATTTAGATTTTTTATGAATTTTTTAAAGTTGCTTCAAAATCGAGCCAAAGTCCCTGTACTATAGTACAGGGACTTTGGCCAAATTTTGGCAAAAATGAAAAGGAGAGAATTTTTTATTTTTATAATTTTTTCTGATCCATATACACGTACTTATGTTGCATAGCAAGTTTGAGTTGATTCCGATATAATTTAGATTTTTTATGAATTTTTTTAAAGGGTAACTACACCCCAAATTTTTTTTCCCTGAAATAAGTTGGTAATAAAGAAAGAATCATAGGAAAAATAGCTAAAATTATTAAAAAGTACAAATTCTATACTAAATCTTGGGTCAAAAGTTGCCTTGCAGCCATTATGTCAAATCACTTCCGGTGGTGGGCGTGGTCACGCGATGACGTAGATGGGGGAACATTAGCAAGTTTCTGCATTGAAATATTAGCAACTTTAAGGCTAGATTTCTAAGTTCTGTGTGCAAGAAAGCAATTTTAATGAAGAGGACCATATAGAACTAATCAAGAGCTAACTACAAACATTTATACTGGTAACAAAATCTATCTATTTATGAAAAATGCTAAATGACCAAATTTAAATTTTGACTGAATATTTTAGCTCTTTATAGCTTCTAATAATTGCAAAAATACCTTTTAGCTGCTTTCTTGCACACAGAACTTAGAAATCCAGCCTTGAATTTGCTAATATTTCAATGCAGAAACTTGCTAATGTTCCCCATCTAATATTCCCCATCTAATATTTAATATCTATGATCTACGTCATCGCGTGACCACGCCCACCACCAGAAGTGATTTGACATAATGGCTGCAAGGCAACTTTTGACCCAAGATTTAGTATAGAATTGGTACTTTTTAATAATTTTAGCTATTTTTCCTATGATTCTTTCTTTATTACCAACTTATTTCAGGGGAAAGAATTTTGGGGTGTAGTTACCCTTTAAGTTGCTTCAAAATTGAGCCAAAGTCCCTGTACTATAGTACAGGGACTTTCGCCAAATTTTGGCGAAAATGAAAAGGAAAGAATTTTTCATTTCTATTATTTTATCTGATGAATATACATGTACTTATGTTGCATAGAAAGCTTGAGTTGGTTCTGATCAAAATTGAATTTTTTACGAATTTTTAAAGTTGTTCGAAAATTGGACCAAAGTCCCTGCAATATACAGTCCTTGAAAATTGGCTCTTTCTAAAATGCTCATAACTATTGATTTTGTTGGAAAATTTCTATATAGCATAAGTATATTAATATGTATCAGAAAAATTTAAAGAAATTGAATTGATTTTGAAGCCAATTTTCGGGAAAAAATTCATAAAAACAGAAGCTGAGTACTATGACAAAATCCTGTGGAATTAAGGGCATTTTATCTTTAAAATTATTCCGCCCATGCTAATAATTAAGCTGTACCTATCTTCATCAATCTGTATAGTACCATCTGCTCCTATCTTTAGCTGTGGCACTATCCTACCGCCATCTTCCTCTTCAGGATCGTTATTGACTGGAGTACTTGGACTTTGAGAACTTGGACTTTCTTCAACACTTTTACCTCCTTGTGAATCAGGTGGACTAAATAAAAGAGATAGAGAAACATGAAAACATGCATCAGAAACTGTAATAAAAATATCCCAGCAGCTTAAAAATCACTTTAAATTTTAAAACTTTAAAAATTGTATGATTATCACATAATCTCTACTTTTACTATTATTATCCAATGTCTGAACAAGGAGCCACAAACTATGCACATTATTTTTGTAATGGACAATAAAGTATAACCTAGCCAATGAAGTTTTCTTAGATTTCTTTCTGCTAGTGTCCGCTTTTGAAGAGCTAGTAATAAAAAGAATGAAAACTATTGTGAATGTGAATAAATCAAGACACACCTCATTGGATTGGATGACGGATTATAATATATAAGCTCTTGCATTGTCATTGTCAATGGGTCTGGTGCCTCATTGAACTGCTTCTTATCAACTTTCCTCCTTTTTAAAGAGCTATTTCCTCCTCCTCCTTCTCCTCCTGAACTAGTCTAATATAAGAAAATAAGAAAAAAGACCTTACTTTAAAGAGACATGACTTACTACGTCTTGATCACTTTTATGACTTGACGAAGAGATGGTTCTGACTCTACGTCGTCCTTTATTAGTCTCCTCTGGCAACACTGTATCATCAAGAGGAGGCGAGTTTAATATAGGAGGACTATCACTAACGGCAGTAGTTCTAGTATTAGGAACTGGAGATGTATCGTTAGTGATTGAAACACATTCAACAGCAGTGATGCGGTCTAGAGTACTATCTTGGATCTGAGGAGTATCACTTACTACTAGCTGGATAGCGCTAGTAGCAGTCGATCCAGTTGTTGGCACAGAATCAGCAGTAGCAGTAGTGGTACTATCTGTTACAATTTCGTTATTGCTAGTCACTTTGGGGTCAATACTGGTCTTTTTGGTTTGATCCAGTGGCTGTGCTGATGGTTTTCCTCTGGGCTTGATGCTTGGGGCAATCTTCTTTTTAATCCAGTGGGTCTTGCCTCCTGGAACTCCTTGCACTGTTGAAGTCATGAGAAACTGAGAACCTAACTGAAAATCCTTGATAAGTCCTCGTGTTTGAGAGTGTTTGGCTGCTAATAAAAAAATAACAACCACGCCTATGAACTAGGCCGCACCTACGATGACCACGCCCATAAATTGAGGTAAATTTTTACATAATTTCTTCTGGCACCCTAAACTGTTTGTTGTGGGAAAAAATTATAGTTTGGCTGGATCTATAATTTGTTTTTATCTAGTTTTTATTGTTTGGAGATGAAGTGTTGTTGCTCATTACATGCATGCTAGTCAAAACAGTTTAAGGTCATCACATTTTGTGTGGTCATGTTCTCAGCAAAAAGGTGGGAGCTATGTGAACATTTAATATGCTAATTAATCCATTATTAGAAACAGTTACCAAAAGAGGCAACGAACAGCCAAACTTATGTATACATTAATTGAATTTGTACTTGTGCATGTCTGCAACTCTCCATATTATATAATTGATAAGATGTAGCTATAGCTATTCGGCCATCAGTGGGTGAGGATTTAACTGCACCCATGTCAGTGGACAAACAAATAATTAAGTTCATGATGTAGTGTTTGTAAACAGTGCCATGTAATTAAATAATTCCATAAACTGTTCTGGTCATTCCCTTGTGACAGTGTGAAGGATTCTCACCCCATCCATCTTGTAGAGAAATGATGTGGACTGCAGCTGCAGCACAGCTTTTCATTGGCAGATAATAAGAGGGAATAGGCAAACATTGCTGGCCATTTTGTCAGCATACAAGCTTTGGCAACCTGTTTAATGTTACTGTACAATATCAATGAACAATGTTGTAGGGTAGAGTCTGCATAAGGCATGTCAACAAGCAAAGTTGATGTTCTATTATTAGCAACTTAAAACTACATACAGCTTGTTGTCTTGTTCCAGACATAGCTTCACTGACCACAATTGCATTTTTAAGGCTTACTTGGTGTGTAAGTTTTATTAACTAAGGTATGAGTGGGTGTCTTTATTGAGTAGTGTGGGTATAAAAAGACAGAATAATTCTACAATCAGATTGTATTATCAACACACTATTCTTCAGAGGACTCCAGTATATACTATTATTTTAGGATGAAGAATGAAATGGTTGGCTCTGCTGCTCTGCTCCTTTGCTTAGCTTATGCTACTCTCATAATTGTAAGTTATCCTTCCCCCATACAGACAAAGAGTCATAATACATTACTAAACCTCTTAAACATTAGACCAGTAGTAATACTATGTCTGATGGAGGATCATGCTATGTGTAATAATGTAGACTATGCTGAGAATTACATGCATAACAAATAGTATGCACTTGATGTATGTTTCTATGGCAGTAAACATGTCAGATATTGCTCCAATAACCTTATTAGGAGTCCTTATATTAACCACTCCTCATTCCTGTAATTCATAACAGACTAACCTTTCGCACACACAAATATTTTGACAATTTACTCTCTTTCTCTATTTGATACTTCTCTCTCACACACACACACAAACATACAACCTCTTCCTTCTCAATACACAAACAGGATGTGGCAGACTGCATACCACATGACATGATTTACTTTCATGGTCAGGACTACTCACGATTTGCAAGGAACATAGGCATACTTCCTCTGCCACCACCTGTTCTACCTCCACCTCCTACTAACAATACATGCACAGCAACCTGTGGGTCTGATGGGCTAAAGGTCCTTAATACAGCTACCTGTCAGTGCATATGTGTACGAGGGATCCCAGCAATATGTCCTTCCCCATCTCCTAGAGCATCAACCAGGAAAACTAGAAAATCAAAATCAAAATCAAAATCAAAAAGGAGAAGAGAGCGTTCACACAAAACAAAATCAAGAACAAAATATTACGGCTGTCCAGAGTACACTAAAAATGGCAAACTAAAAAAACCAAAGACTCCAAAGGGTCGTAGCAAGAGTAACATCATTATACCAAGTCCAACTACCAGTCTCTGTCCTATTGGCCAAGCCATCGATCCTAGGACCTGTCAATGTGACTTTGAATTGTAACTATAAATAAAAACTATTATCATCATAACAGTCATGACACAATGATGATTATCATTACATTATAATGTTAAAAGTATTATTGCTTGTAAAATTTTGATTTTAAAAGAACTTCATATTATACATTAATCAGAAATGATAAGTAAACTGAAATTACATTAAGCTAAAAACATGAATCAAAACAGCACTGAAAAAATAAACCAAACACTATTGAATAATTATATAATCAGCTTAGTCTAAAAATAATTATATTTTAATGGAAAAGTGTACATTATTAGCATTGTACCAGCCATAAGGTTGGGTCAAGCAAAATGGAAGACTATTAGATAATCCATTCCCAAGAGACAATACACAAACTAATGGAGTCATTGTATATAAGGAAGCGCTCACCCACTGTGTTTTCATGTCAACAAGTTCTCACAGCCTTTGAATTAACTGTTATTGCTTTAAGGTTATATTACCATGGGATCCTCTCCAAGAAGTGTTTACCTAGGTCTCTCATTGATTCTATTGACCTGCTTCATTATAGTAAGTATCAATGTCACTGTGAGAGACATATCAACATTCACTTATGTAGGCAGTGCAGGGACAATATCCCACGAGGCATTTTCTACAGCGTCCATTGCCACCGCCTCGTCGTCTTGATTCAGAGTTTCATCAATCATCACTAACACACATTAAGGTCACATCTAATATACCAGTGAGGTCACGCTCTGGTCTACGTCCTCCTAGTAGACGACCCCAACCAGCAAGAGAATTAAATTACATACAAAATAGACGTCCATATGACAATAACAGACGTCCATATGACAATAATAGACGTCCATATGATACTAATAGGCGTCCATATGATACTATCAGACGTCCATATGACACTAATAGACATCATCCACAAAACCCGTTTCAACGTCATAGTCATTCACATGATCAGCGTCCATATTTACCTCGGCCTCCAGTACATGTAGGTCCTTACCCAACAGTACGTGGTAGAGTGTATCCACTTCCTCCTCCAGTTCCGGCTCCTTATACAACCATTAGACGCTGTAACAGAAACCAGCAATGTCCCTCAGGCAAGACTTTTGATTACAATCAGTGTAAGTGTGTCTGTATTGTACAAGTGACCACATGTCCTGGAGCAATGAACTATAATTCCGACACTTGTAAATGTGAGTGTTCATCTCGTTTGGTCTGTAATCAGTACCAGAGGCGTAACGATGCTCAATGTCGCTGTGATCCCATTCATTCTCCACCTCATCCTCCAACCACAACAGTCACTACGTCATCTTGTCCTGCTACTTCTCGTTATCTTTGCAGCCCAAGACAGATTCTCAATCTTAGGACATGCCAGTGCCAGTGTCCACGTTTCTCTGCCAACAGGTGCAGCAGTCTTCAAGTCCTTGATCAAAGGACATGTCAGTGTGTCTGTCGAAACAGGTCAGGGAGGTGTCCTTATGGGAAGATAATGAATAGGAACACTTGTCAGTGTGAGTGCCCACTGGTTCTTACTATTCGGTGCTACTATCCAAGGAGAATGGATCCAAACACTTGCAACTGTCGCTAAGAGTGTAACTGAACAAAAATTATATAATAATTAAAATAATAATAATAATAATAATATTGATAAGATAATTATTAATTTAAACTCAAAACTGAATTGTTGTTGTCCTCCTCAATCTCTTACAAGAAAATAGAAAAGCTCAGAGTTATTAAATTTACATTAGAAAGTAAACATTATTATTATTATAAAAACAATTTTATAATCCTATTAGATTAAAAACTGAATTCAGAGCAAGATAAAACATTCAATCTTTATTAAAACTAGTTCAAACATTTTATATAACGTAAAATATATGTGTCTCAAAATAAATAATAAAAAATCTCTCAAAGCAATTCAAAAAATACCCTGAAGTACAGGGTCTTTGGCCAAATTTTGAAGCAACTTTAAAAATTCATAAAAAATCCAAAATTGATCATAATCAGCTCAAATTTGCTATGCAACATAAGTACATGTATATGTATCAGAAAGAATTATAAAATAGATATTTCTTTATAGTCATTTTTGATGAAATTTGGCCAACAACCATGTACTTTAGCTTATTGCCTTTGACCTAACATTCTGGAGTATTTTTAAAATTCATAAAAATGCAAATGTATCAAGAATGTTCCCAATCAAAATATCCTGTATGATATCTGGGTAAACTTGAAAGCAAAATTAAAAATTTCTTTAAAAATGCAATTTTAATCATAATCTTTTAAATAGTATAAGAGCAAGTATATAAATCAGAAATGCACAAAGTGGGGGTATTGTATGAATAATGAATAACATAAAGGTTGCCAAGTAGAAACTATATACACCATGAGAATAGAAAAAGGAAATGTGTAGGCTAATTTAGACTAAAATGGACTCAAAAATACAAAAAAACTCAAAGGTATTGACTTTATAAGTAACAGACTAAATATCCCTCCATCAAACTATAGATTACAAGAGTACTTTATTATATAAAGAGAGCATTAAAAGCAATTTAGCATATCAATTACTTCACTTACAGGTTAAAACTTAATAGAGTGAGCAAAATGAAGTGGACACTGAGCTGTCTCTGCTGCCTTTTACTTGCCTCTTTAGTAAGTTTATAATCCGTGGTTACTAACCAATCACTATTACCATTATAGGTGACAACCAGCAAGCTGAACTATCGTCACAAGTATAATCCAAAAGCAGGTGTAATTGGAGGTGTCAAATCAGTCCCAGTCCCAGGTCCTCTTATAGTACCCCAGCCTGGCCCAGCTCCAATTATTCCAGTCCCAGGCCCTGGTCCATTCCCTGGTCCAGCATGTGGACGCATAATACAATGCCTCCCTGGACAGGTTTTTGATGAGAGGGTTTGTCGCTGTGTCTGTCCAGTACGTATACAACAGTGTCCAGGAGGATCAACATTTGATCAAGGCACTTGCAAGTGTCGATGCAATGCTGTATGCAACCAGTTTCAGGTACTTAATGAAGCAGCCTGCAGGTGTGACCCACACAACAATCCACCAGCAAGTAATTGTCCAGGTTTGAGGTGCTTTGTAAATCAAGTTCCAAATTTCCAAACATGTCAATGCCAGTGTCGTAACTTAGTCCAGTGTCGCTTTCCTCAGATATTTAATCCAAGCACTTGTCAGTGTCAGTGTCCTGCTAACAGAGCCTGCACCAATTTGCAGTTTGTAGATCCTAATACATGTCAGTGTGCATGTAGACAAGATATTGCTTGTCCAAGAGGACAGGTTAGGGATCCTTTTAGCTGTAGGTGTGAATGTGACAGGAGAAGCTGTCGGTTTCCTCAAGTACTCAATCCTGATACCTGCCAGTGTGAATGCAGCAGACGTT